TTGACCCTTGGCTTGAGTCGTTCACACAGCACACGGGATAGCACTTTATATGATATGAGAAGGAGAGTAATTCCTCTACAGTTAACACATATCGTCTTGTCTCATTTTTTTTTTTTGCACGGATGCAGAGGTTATAATCATTGGACATGCATTCCTTTAACCGAATTGTACTAATCATTTGGTGCATGCTTCGATTCCACGACAGAGCGGTTTACAATCAGAGTCTTACTCGGCCAACGTCTGTTACCTCAGACCATTGTGTAAAATCAATGGGGTTGCTACAACAACAAAGTGCAGAATCCCACTTTGGACTCTTCTATGAAAAAGAGAAACATGAGAAAAAGAACTCCTTGAACTTTTCTAAAAATAAGACTTACTTGAGGAAGACCTACTAGAAACCCATATACATTTATCTATTTTTTTTTTTTTTTTTTTTTTTGATATTTTGTACGCAGTATTTTTTTTAGATAACTATCCTAGTAAATATTTTCACAGTAAGCATGTGGAAGACAGAATAACAAACAAACATTTTCAGTATTCAAATTGTCTAAATGATCAGAATTGTATCAAGTTATCAATCGGATTAAAAACATATATCTTCCAAACGAATACAAATTTTAATTTTGAAGAATTTCGATGCAGAACATGGCTTCATGAGGAGTTACACTACTTTGGATATATACAAGAGTAACTTTTGTGACTATTATTGAAACCCATATACATTTATAAAACAAAACACATCCCATTTCGTGTTGATGTAGGGTCTTTGGTATACCATTTCATACACCATTCAAGCATATCAACAATTTTCCATTACTGCTTTTGGTTTGTTCTTGAGGCAATTAAATGAGAAAGGCAAAACTAAATGTTAAAAGTTTAAACAAAAACAAATATTAAAAATTTAAACGGTTATTTTTATATACGCCCCATATACATTTATAAAACAACAGTTACGACACCTGCATATCAACAATTTTCCATTACTGCTTTTGGTTTGTTCTTGAAATGAGAAAGGCATTTTGTTTAAACAAAAACAAATATTAACAATTTAAACGTAGCAAAGCGACATCTGCTAACTTGTGTTGATATTAAAATAGCACATTGTTGGCAACGCATAGTGAAGGGTTCACTAAACAAGATATTCAACATGAATAATTTCCAATTAGAATTTTTAAAACTATTTTAACTAGATAAAAAGGAAATTAATACTTCTCCAAGAAATTGTGTTCGGTTCTCGATGCATTTTCCATAAATTTATACAAATTAATCAAGAAATAGAATTGAAAAAAACCAGAGCACTTACCAAATGTAATATAATTTCAATAAATATTGAAAAACCTTCAATGTAGACAATACTCGAAAATTCAACTCTTATTTCAATTCGAAAATTAATTACGTAGAAATCGCGCACGAAATGTTTTAAAGACGAAAATCGAACACACTGTTAAACCGCGAGTATAAACTATAGTTTTAACACTAAATTCACCGTTTTCGATGTTGATTGATATTGTTTGAATTGATCACATAATGTAGTTTCAATGGTTGATTCAATGATTCATTTGGGAATGTTTGAATTTAATGTTTGAATTTATGTCGGGCATGTCCTGGAATTAAAACGTATAAATTAATTTTAAACACTTTTAAAATTAGATTATAAATAAAAAATGTACTTACGTTTAATGCATAGTCCACAACTTCGGTCAGGATTTTTCTATTAGATGAAATCGCGTACGGAATGTTTTAAAGATGAAAATCGAACACACTACTAAAACGCGAGAATAAGTATCTTGTTTTAACACTAAATTCACCGTTTTCGTTGTTGATTGATATTGTTTGAATTGATCACATAATGTAGTTTCAATGGTTGATTCAATGATTCATTTGGGAATGTTTGAATTTATCACTCCAGAATATATGTCGGGCATGTCCTGGAATTAAAATGTATACGTTAATATTAAACACTTTCAAAATTAGATTATAAATAAAAAATGTACTTACGTTTAATGCATAGTCCTCAGCTTCGTTCAAGATTTTTCACTTAAATGTCAGTAGACATATGATAGATCCAATACGTTTAAGAAATATCTCACTCTTAGAAGCATACTGTTTCGAGCAATTATTGATGTTTTTGTGGCATATTCAATAGTTCTTTCAAGTTGGACCTGCAACTTCTTTTGGAGTTCTCGTTACATTATTCAAATGTTTGCCCATTAACGAATCAAAGCTTCCATGTAGTTCTGTTAATTGTAAATACTCCTTCAAATACCCATTTTAGTTTATTTTTTAAATACTCCTTACTCCATTTTTCACATATTTCCATTTTAACCAAGACAACGTCACACCGAATTTTTTCCTCTTATTATTCGCCAAGTATTGTGGTTATATTTTGTAGCCTGACAAGACATGTCATTTTAATCAATATTCTTATGTTTTATATGATATGAGACTTAAAATGCCACAGGAGAATTTACCTAAGATATTAAAAAAAAATATTAATCAGATATTTAAATATACAATTGGAAGTAGCACTTACACTTACCATTTAGTATATCCCCAACACCAACTTGGTTAAACGAGGATCCATCGTTAGGTACATTAAAACGACCCGGACCCTTTGTGACTAACAGTTGTGACAGTTGTTGGCCGAGTAAGACTCAGGTCGTTTCGGGTCGTAGACCCCACTAATTTATTTTGGACTCAAACACCTATACACATCGTTTGTCTGTGGTACGGTGGCGTACAATGGAGGGTCTAACCGTGCTATTATTGGGTATTCCGATGGTTCGACATGTTATGTTGGCCTCTGCTCCAATTGTCCTTTTTGGGGTCTGTCATGGCTAGGAGGCCAAACTTTCTTGGTCATGCTGGTAAGCGTTGGCTGGCGCTACTACTCAGTAAGACAATTTATTTATTCCTGTTTCCATTGATTTGTTCATGCTTTTTTTGCTACCGCTCTGTCATTCCTTGCAGATATTCTCGTACAAGATCATTCGTTTTTTTTTAAATCCACATTTTTTGCGTATGAGTAATTTGTTGTTGTTGTTATTTGGCTATGGATACCAATATAATGAGCTTTTCAAGTGTTCGTTGCTCAGGAAGCCACTTCATTAGTATTTTGGCGCCAAAAAGACATAAATGCCATTTACTTGTCATTATGGAATGCCTTTGCTACTGCTGATCTTGCTTCATTTTGTTTTCACAGCACAGCCAATTTAAGTTGTAATTAAAACACATTTTAAACACTAATCTCACGAAATATTCCATTGCTGCGCACTTTATTTAACTTCAATTTTATTATTTCTTGATATTTTCACTATTTGTTTGCAAAGAAATCACAAATTTGCTGCCAATTTTCAATTAATCAACTGCTTTAACGGACGCTCAATGTGAACTAAACCCCAAAAACAGCTGTTTTCTCATTTGGCTCTCTTTGTTTTGATTAGGCGGTTATGCTAACATCTCAATGTGAATGACGTTATTAATGAGAAATGTAGTTCTATGAAGAAAAAAACATAACAGAAAACTCGGGGTTAACACAAACTTTTTTAAATTTAAAATTTTAGTTTTTGTTAATTTTATTATTTTAATGCAAATAAATCACAAATTTTCTGCCAATTTTTTTAATAATTCTCTTTAACGGACACTGTCAAAACAGCTGTCTCTCTTTGCTTTTGCTAGACAATAGGCTATCACCTCAGCTTGCATGCCGTACTAATAAGAAGTGCCTTTTTGTGGAGAAAATAACTATAAAACACCATCACAGGACTTTACACAAACATTTTTTTTAACAGAAACTTTATATTTTTAGTTAATACCATTAATTAATTGCAAATCAATTAAAATCTACTTTAATTTTTTAAAAATTTAACCTTTTTAACGGACACTGTCAAAAAGAAAACAGCTGTTGCTCTCTTTCCTTTTGTTAGACTCATCTCACTGTGCATGCCGTTACTAATAAGAAATGTCTTTCTTTGGGAGAAAATCACAACAAAACAAAAACATCACTCAGAAAAAAACTCATATAGAAATGTCAAAACAGAGAGAAATTAGCAAAAGGAAAAGAAAAACATTTGACATTTAGAGCAGAGAATTTTTTTACGGAGGAAAATAGCAAGAGCAGAATTGTAAAGCTCCTGAAAATATTAAAAATTTGCATATTTAAATAAAGTATTTATAAACAAAAAGTTGTAAAACTTAAAGCAAAACCATAGGACATTATGGAGATGTAGAAATTTCATGGATTATTGTGAAAATCTACATGCAAATTAAAGGAAAAATCACACAATAGATGAGGACCTGACACACACACACATCCTACATTTTATGTGAAAGACCAGCAAGTATATACTACAAAAGAAGAATTACGTGAGTGCGCACCACCAACCATCAAACAAAAAAATTCAGAGGCAACGAACGACGAACTGTTGTAATTTTGTTGGTTGGCCAGAGGAGGAAGGAAGGAAGAAGAAGAAAATAGAAATAAAACTATCGTATAAAACCTTACACACAATTGCTTGGCATCCAAAGAATCCCAAAGATTTTCCCAGACCCTTAAAGGCAGGTTGAATGGGAATTTTCACAGAAGCGAAGTGAAAAAATCGTTATATTTCCCCCGACCTGAATAGACCACAAAGAATCTCATTGTAACTAACTGTGGCAGCTGTAATTCGATTTTGGGGGAGTTGTGTGTCTGTGGTGTAATGTTGTTGTTGCTGCTGCTGTTTTAAGTGTATATGTATGTGATAGTGTTAATTTATCATCTTCCCCATCAATGCAAAAGGTTTTGCTTCCCTACACACTGTCCACTCATTACATATAGGCCGACCGACCGAATTGAGGGATTAAGTACTACGACCGACAAGTAGTAACATCACTAATCGCCGCCGCAAAAAAAGCTTACACTACGAAGTGAAGTCCAAGAAGAAAAAAAAACCGCACCCTTTGCACTTGCTACTGCCACCATCAACGTAGCAGTGCGCCTTCCGTGTCGTGTTGTGCAGGATAGACAGTTATGACTTCGCCTTTATATCAATTGGATATATTTGAATTACGGCCTCTGATAACAAATTTCAATTGTAAATTATCGACCATATCGGAATATGATTGCCACAAACAGATGCTGTGTCTTGTCTCCGAGGACAATGACATTGTGTTACGCTACACCAGTGAAGGTGGCCAGGAGGTATTGAAATTGGTTTCATGGTTTCGACGTACCAATCGTGTCATACATGATATTTGTTTTGATCCCTCAGGAACCTGGCTGCTGGTGTTATGTAAGTTGTACACAATTTGTTCCATACTTATCTAAGATAATAACGCTTTCCCTTTCTAGGTTTCGACAATACTCTACACATTGTGCCCGCCTTGGCTGTGGTTGATAAAGCCACCTTGGAGGCAAATGCCAAAAATTCAGTATACCCCTCCCTGTACAGTACCACACAAGTGACATCATACATAATACCATTTGTTGGACCACATGAGTGCCCCAACTCCAAGAAATGTCCCAATAAGTTAACATCAAAAAGAAATTCTGGCCTTGGTGGAGCCGCAGCCTCATCCTCTAAGAATGAAGAAAAACCAAATGAACCAGATAATGAGGAACAACAAAATAAAAATGTCAATCTCCTAGCAGATCAAGTTGAGGGTTTACAATTGGAAGACAACGCCCCAGAAGATGAGGGGTTGGTTGTGGTCCCAATGGATGCTGGTAATATTGATGTCTTCAGTCAAGATGTACCTGCCGAAATGTTGGCATCAACGGCTCCACAAAATCTCCATGTGGATGATAAAACCGGTAATAGCCAGCTGCCGGCAATGAATATGTCCTTCATGGCCTCAAACACCTGTCCATATCCTTTATCGGTGGTATGGTGGCGTACCTTGGAGGGTGTTAATCGTGCGGTTATTGGATATTCCGATGGTTCGATATGTTTTGTCGGCCTCAGCCCTAATTGTCCTTTTGTGGCCAGTACCTCGGTGGAAAGTGGTTCGGTGGTGAAGTTGCTGATATGTCGGGATAATACTTTTGATAGTGTCATGTTATTGGTGAGTAGGGTGTTTCCTTTTTTAAAACTTTAAAGGTGGAAATCGAATCGATTCGAACTTCATGCAGAGGAGGCGTGGGAAGGACGCTTCTACAGACATAGGAAATAATTCATCAGGTCACTGAGGAGTCCCTGAGGAGTCTTTCCTATAGGAAAAAAATCATCAGGACCCTGAGGAGTCTTTTTCCTATAGGAAAAAAATCATCAGGACAATGAGGAGTCTTTTTCCTATAGGAAAAAATTCATCAGGACCCTGAGGAGTCTTTTTCCTATAGGAAAAAATTCATCAGGACCCTGAGGAGTCTTTTTCCTATAGGAAAAAATTCATCAGGACCCTGAGGAGTCTTTTTCCTATAGGGAAAATGCGTCAGGACCATGAGGAGTCTTTTTCCTATAGGGAAAATGCGTCAGGACCATGAGGAGTCTTTTTCCTATAGGGAAAATGCGTCAGGACCATGAGGAGTCTTTTTCCTATAGGGAAAATGCGTCAGGACCATGAGGAGTCTGTTTCCTACAGGAAAAACATTCATCAGGTCTCTGAGTCTTTTTCCTATAGGAAAAGATGTCCCTTATGAGTTTTTTTTTTATAGAAAAAAAATCATCAGGTCTCTGATGAGTCTTTTTCATATAGAAAAAATCATTAGGTCCCTGAAGGGTATTTTTCTGTTGTCCATGGAAATTCTTTAGAAGATCTTATGGCTATAAAAAAGTAAATCTGAACCCATGTTTTCAACTTCTCCATTTGCTTTCCTCATTTCAAAGATATTCAACCATTCTACCTATTTCAAAGATATTCAACTTATAAAACAACGTCTTCTTCTTTCCCTTCCAGATAACCTCATCACTGAAACAACAATTCAAATTACTATTGGAACAAAAAGCCATCGAATATACCTATCCGGGAGAATTATCGCCCACAACTGGGGCAGGAACAACAAGCGGAGCGCAAACCAAAGATAAAGATGATTGGCAAATTGTTTTGCCATTGAAAAGTAATAATAGCAATTCCAGCAGTAAAGAATCCTCATGTGAACGCAGCAATCCATCCGATGACGATGTATTTATGAAAGAAGAACCATCCGGAGCTGGAGTAATTACGACAACAAAAGACATTAACCCGCCGCCTCAAATCCAACAACATATAGCACAAATTAATAACGCACGTCCTGGTGGAGAACCGCCACCACCTCCAACACAAATCCAACCAAAAGTAGCAACATCTTCCATTGAAACAAATGGTAATACAACCCAACAGCCACCACCGCCACCATATTCTGTGGCCATTACCCGTCATTTGGATAATAATGATGGTGGTATAACCACCACAGCTTCTATGACAAATAGTAGTGGGGTATCCACTACCAGCTCAAGTGAACGTAATAATCCACAGCAGCAACAACTCGATAATGATGCAGATAACATTAGAGGTGGTTATATTCCAGCAGCCAGAGCCCGTTTGGCATCGCTGAAGTCATTGGGTTCAAAGAAGCTGAATGCCATTAAAATGCGTCTTTCTGATAAACGACAAAAGATTGAAGAATGTAAGTAAATATATCCCTTACAAATATCAACCTTCTCAGGTCAATAACAGGATCAGATTTTAAAGGAATGTAAAAGGGGAGTTGAATTCCAAATTTCAATAGTTTATATTATAAAATAGTTACAATGGATTCAAGAGAAATCAGAATATTAGGAGCTTCATGAATAATCGATGTTCGCTGCTAAAACATTCGTGATAAAATTTTACTCGATTCATTTGTTTGGTGAAATCGGTTCAGATTTAAATATCGCTTCCATGTAGAAGAACATTTTAAACAGGAGAAATTAGTGTCTTATTCCCTGCGGCGATTGGCGGGAGTCAATTCCAAGGACGATGTCCACTTTGTATTCATTTATTTTTGCTTGTAGGGCTTCTTTTTCCAGATGCTCTTTCCTCTTCCTCTCAGTCAAAGATTTAGGAAAAAATCGTCAGGTCCCTGAGGAGATTTTTTCCTATAGGAAAAAATTCGTCCGGTCCCTGAGGAGATAGGAAAAAATTCGTCAGGTCCCTGAGGAGTCTTTTTCCTATAGGAAAACAAATCGTCAGGTCCATGAGGATGCTTTTTTCCTATAGGAAAAAAGTCATCATTTCAAACATTCCAATTGGAAATTGTAGATGGCGACATTCTCTCCTCCAACTACTTCTCCACCTCGCCCAATAATCTTCGATATTACAATATAAGTTAGGTTATTGGAATCACTTCCTGCAAAGTATTGGATTTAGGAAAGTGTACGGAAATTAGTAAGGTGGTCCATTATGATTTGAAAATAATTCATTAGATCAGAGTTCCATAAATCACAGTTGTCAATATTCAACAAAATAATCCAAATCATTTATTTGTCGATTTATAAAAAAAATGTTTGACAATTTGTTTTCTGTTTATTTCTGTTTCATTGCTCTATCCTTTTAAATTATGTTTATATCTCGCGAATGATTAGATCTACGATGTATTGTGATATTAATATACAGATTCAATAACAAGAGTGGTGAGTTTTCATTGCATTCATACTACACTTCGTTTGAGCATTGAAACCTTCCACAAAACCAAAAAAAAAAAACCGAAATCAATACCAAGCGCCACATCACAACATCGCTAAATTGCTTTACCCCAAAAGAAGCAATATAGACTCTTACATTAGTTTTGAGGAGATAAACCAGTTAAAACCAAACAAACAACCACCACACTCAAGCATAATTTTAGATAGCGAGGCTTTAATTTTTATTTTTTGGTTCGCATTCCGCTATTCGGAAGATATATTCAATTTTAATTAATTAATTTATTTGTTCTACTTTACAGATATGCCCGACAATTCCCTGGGATCCTCTTTCGCAATTGTCGACTCTCCCTCGTTGACACCTGAGCTATTGGCAAATTCAGCTGGTTCCTTTTATACCATCCAAAATTTACGCAGTACATATTTACTAAGTGCTTTGCATAGCCAGTCGAATAGCTTTACCGTACACAATATCGATATACATTTGAAGCCATTGTTTCTTTATAAAATACCCCGAGATTGTGTCGATATATTGATAAGTTCGAATATTTTATATACCATACAATATGTGGATTATTATGGTGGTGGTGAGATACCATCACCTTTGGCAGCATTAGTTGGTAAACCAGCAAAACAATCCGAGCAAAAAAATCAAAATACCGAAAAAGAAAATCGTGATATGGATGTTGAAAAACATGAAAAATATGCCGAAGAAATTGCTGCTGTTATGGAGGATCTTAATGATGGTGATGAAGCCTCTGGGCAACACGCTGCTGCCGTTAAACGGGATACCAGTCAAGAGGATAGTGCCGCAGATACAAGTGCTGCTTCATCGACATCGGAACATTATAGTCAAGATAGTCTAACACCAAGTAATTCCATAAATGCTGTGGGGGTTATAAGCAGTGCTATGGCATCGCTGCGCAAGGGTGATGAAGATGTAAGTTTTTCACGCATCTTATAAAATACATTTTTATATTTCTTATTCTTATCTTTCTTTTTCTAGAAATTCAACACATTTTCCCAACTGGGTCTATTTCGTTTTGAACACGAAACTGTTCTAAGCCTCTATCAAATGGCCACCTTCCGTCCATCTACAACAACTGAAACCATATCAAAAGATGAAAAGACCAAAGTATTTGAATGTAGCGATATCCGTTCACCCATGGACTATGTCAAGTTTTATGAAACCGCCGATGTCAAGGAGGAGTTGTCGCTGCGTCAAATGGAAATAATGCAAAATGAATTTCCAAAAATCAATTTCGATCCATGTTATGTTGTCACGAACAAAAATGTCTACTATATACAATTGAAGTAAGTAAAAACAAGTTATTTCAATCAAAATTTTGAAATCTATAAAAGAAGATCGGATAAGATATTCAGATCGTAATGGTATACTACTAACAAACAATGATGAACAAATTTAAAGATGGAGAGAACATTTCGAAGATATTTAACATTCAAAAAATATTCCTTAAGTACACATATTTTTAATATTAATATTTAATTATTTAAAAATATTCTATACATCGAAGTCGAATTTTTTATATGCAAAAAGTTCCGCAGATTTCGGAGAACAATTTTGCTCTGAGGAGTCTTTCTTATAGAAAAAAATCATGAGAACTCTTGGCAGCCTTTTTTCTGTACGAATACATTCACTACGTTCCTGAGAAGTATTTTTTCATATAGGAAAAAACTCGTGAGGTCACTGAGGAGGATTTTTTAAATAGGAAAAAACTCATAAGGTCCCTGAGGATTCTTTTTTCTATAGGAGAAAACCCCTGAGGATTATTTTTTATAGGAAAAAACTCATCAGGTCCCTGAGGAGTCTTTTAAGTATAGGAAAAAAATCATCAGGTCCCTGAGGAATCTTTTTCCTACAGGAAAAAAATCATCAGATCCCTAAGGAGTCTTTTTCCTATATGAAAAAAAATTATCTGGTCCTTGAGAAGTCTTTTTTTACAGGAAAAAATCCATCAGGTCCCTGAGGATTATTTTTTTTTCTATTGGAAAAAACTAATCAGTCCTGAGGAGTCTTTTTGCTATAGGCAAAAGACTCATCAGGCCCCTGAGGAATATTTGTTCTATACAAAAAGATTCTATATGATTCTTATAGGAAAAGATTTAGCAGGTCTTTTACCTACTGCGGAGTCTTTTTCTTAACTTTTTACTCTCAGTTACCTTTTTCTGTAGGTCTTCAGCTCATCAAGAAAGGCTGCCTGAACCTTCAGCGCACGTATGAAAATCTGCCTTAAACTTTAACTCCCTTATACAGACTCCGTAAAGCTTCGACTCGTATGAAACATACACCCTGAACCTTCTCTTCGCCTATAGAGGCTTCAGCATGTCCATGCGGAGTCTTATAGAAGTCTGCGGAGATTTTTCTTACTCTCAGTTACCTTTTTTCTGCCCACACAGACCTGCGAATGATTCGACATCCTGAACTTTTCCCTCGCCCATAGAGGCTTCAACAGGTCCCTGCGGAGTCTTTTTCCTACATGTAAAAATTATTATGGCCTGCGGAGTCTTTTTCGAACCTTACTCTCGGTTACCTTTTTCTATAGGTCTTTAGCTCATCGAGAAAGTCTGCCTGAAACTTCAGTGCACGTATGCAAATCTCTGAAACTTTAGCTCCCCTATACAGACTCCCTAAAGCTTCGCCTGCGCCCTGCGGAGTCTTATCCTTACTCTCAGTTACCTTTTTCTGTATGTCTTCAGCTCACCAAGAAGGGCTGCCAGAACTTTAAGCGCGCATACGAAGATCTATCTAAAACTTTAGCTCTCTTATACAGACTCCCTAAAACTTCGACTCGTAAGAATTTTCTGTTCGCCCATATGGACTTGCTGAAATGCCAGGAAGTTTTTAAAATGGTGCCAGAGATTTCAGTCCGTCTAAAAAACACACTGAGTCTACATCTCGCCTATAGTGACTCTCTGAGCCTAATATAAGCATTTTCTGAAGCCTCAGATAGTTTATAAATACTTTTGGTTAATCTAAAGAAACTGAATGAACTCTCAACAAAAATGTATAAAGAGTTGATGTAGCTTCTCTTAGCCTATAGAGGCTCCAGCAGGTCCCTCCCTAAAGTTTCGCCTCGTAAGAATTTTCTTTTCGCGCATAGGGGCTTGTTGAAATTTCAGCAAGTTTATAAAATTGTGCCAGAGTTTTCAGTCCTTCTACGAAAGACACTGAGCCTACATCTCGTCTATAGAGATTCCCTGAGCCATCTATAAGTATTTTCTGAAGCCTCAGATCGTTAATAAACACTTTTAGCTTATCTATTAAACCTCCCTTTACTCCAACAAAAACCTATAAAGTGTTGATGTAGCTTCAGATTATCTAAATTTTCAACAATCCTATAAGCGGCACGCTGAACCTTCCTTTTGTCTTTAAAAGCTGCCATTAAACCATTAAATTCTCTAAAATCAAAATCAAAAATAGAAATCCTTGAACCTTCAACGGGTCTAAGAATACTCCCTGACATTTCCTTGTCTATTCAAGTCCTCTGTGCAATTATCGACAGGATGACTTCTTATGACATTAATGTTCTATTTAATTGAGGAGCCTAAAACCTATAGCTATGACTTATTACCAGACATCGATTAGAAAAATACCTTGATAAGAAATCAAGCCAGGATACTACAAGATACCTTAATAAGTACTCAATAGAAATGAATTATACGTCTATATACCTTAATAAGTATTGAAATAAATATAATCATGATTCCACTAAGGAGGTGGCCTATTCTGCGAAATAGAGACCTGGATAAGTACTCGGACGAGTTTCTAAAAATTCGTTTTACCACAAGATTTAACTACTTGATTTGGCATTGATCATCTAACTTATAATACGAATTTATATTATTTTAAAATATTTTTATTATTAAATTACGTACCTCATCTTTTTCACTTTCAGAAAAGAACCCTTTGCCATCTTCTTGGAATGTGCTCTGGCCGGAGAATGGACGCAATGTCGTGATTTTTGCAACACATTCGATTTAACATATGAGGCTTGCATTGAATTTGCCGGTGACTATTTGTTGCGTCGTAAAAAAGTCACGCAAGCATTGCTCACCTATAATACGGCACGCATTAAGCCCATTCGCACTGCCCTCAAACTGGCAATGTTTGGACAAACGAATGCTCTAATGCATTTGTGTGCCATGGCACTGAAGCTGACACATGTGCTCAAATCGAAATATTTTTGTCATCCCATCATCAAGACACTTATGCCCGATATAACATACCGTCATTCGGAAAATGTACAACCCATATTACCGCCAACACCAACACAATATGCCGCTGAGGGTGTACAGGTTAATGAAGGTCTGGCATGCAGTGATTATATCTATGGCGTAGATGAGCCTATGAGTCAATTACAAATGTCAGCCTCATCCCAGTTTCATTTGGCTAATTTGTTGCTCATCACATTGGCGGAGAAGGCTGTCAACGATAAAAATTATGTACCGTTGTGGTAAGTGCAGAAGAAGGAGGAGAGAACACACATGACATTATTATTCTATTCTCATTTTGTTTATTCATAATTGTTGTGTGTCGTCCATCCTTTTTTGTGGTATAGGAATTTCCTGGTAACAAATGGCAAATATCACACAAACATGACAAGTATTGTTCTTTGCCAAAGTGGCCTATTTTCGGCAGCTCTGCTATTGGCCAAAGTTCGTGGTGTTTGTATTGATACATTTTTGGCTTTGAACAGTGTTGTGGGCCAGGAATTTGGTAAGTGTGATGGAGGATTTGTTTAATTTAATAAATAAAATGTTTTTTTTTTAATTTCTATTGCAGGCTGGTATTCGGAGGTCAATGTTTGCTTGTACAATTTAAGTGAGATCATGTTCACGGAAACCATTACCTATTTACCAAATGTGGCTATCGATTATTTTTCATTCATACAAGACAAGCTGCACAACATTAGACCAAGTGTTTTAAGGGTAAGTAAAGAACAATGATTTTGGAACTAAAGAAGTACAAAAGTGTTAAGTGAAAATGAAAATATTTTTAATCTCAATGCAATCAAAATATGGGAACATGGGACATTTATGGATTGCAAGAAACACTAGACTATGGTTATGTCAAATCCGCATCAGACTCAGGTCACCTTTAAACACCGCACTTTTCTTATTACAGAATTTTACTTCAAGATACCTTAATAAGTACCCAAACCAAGTTACGATATTCAAGAGATCTGAATAAGTAATTAAGCAAGAATACGAAAGGATTCTACGACATGGCACCTTAATAAGAATATATACAAAAGAATTCAACGGCTAAATATCTTAAATATTAGTCAAGCAAGGATACTACATTAGACATTAATAAGTACCCAATCTACAATACGAAAGGATTCTATTTCTCGTGATCATCACAATCAATGGTTATAATGAGTTGATGAGAGAAAAAACTGTTTATCGGTTGATTTTGAGCTTTGAAAAATGACGTCATTTTACTTTAATTGTTTCCAACAGCAGGCCGCCTGATTTCATAACATCTGAACACCGCACTTCCCTTAACCATAGGAAAGCCAATTGGCAGGATTTACCAACCATCGTTTCTGAGAACTTTCCACGGGTAACAAAAATAAAATTCCGGGACATCAATGCATCTGCAGCCGCTAGATTTATTCCTACTGGTCTAATACCTGACTAGGAAATGAGCGCGATAAGTTCCGTCGATCTAACCCAGCCGACCCCACGGACGTTAGAGTTCAGCAGAGATTTGTCGCGGAGCATAAGTTAGAGCATCTGAAGTTTTGCAACATTGTAACCGATGTGAGTAAACTGTGGGTAATGGTTAAGTTTTTCCCTGGTAAGAAAGAAGGACAGTATTACGACCGATAGATGCAATCGGTCGCCTGCTAATTGAATACTCGAGATGAGATCTAATTTCCCAGCAGAGGCAGTTGGACTAGCAAATGGGCGAGTTCCCTGACTCTTTGATCTAACCCAGCAGATCAAAGAGTCAGGGAACTAACAATTGAGGTCAGCAGATTAGTCGCGGAGCATAAGCGGAATAAATGGTTAAATCATCTGAAGTGTTGCAACCGGTGTGAGGAAATTGTGGACAACAGTTTAGTCGGAATCGAACCCTGGTAAAAAGTCATGTCACATTTAACGATGAAACTGTGACTGGTCCGAAGAGATGTGCAAGTTATTTTAACCGACAGTTTGTCGAACATTCGGAGACCGACAGGGCGAAGCGAAAATTACTATGTCGTATAAGATTTTTTGCCTTTGAAGAGGTACCACCACAGTTTAAAATGGGTGATATAGCATGTGTCATACATAGCGCTACCCATACACAAAGTTCCCGAAGTCTTGACAATGGACAGGCATTTCACGATCATGAGACGGGCCGTATCGTTGACGACATATGTATATTATTTAGCAGCCTTCTTGCACCCACAATTCCATTTAATGTGCTGTCGAGTGGCATACAATTCCGATCACCAACTACCCTAAAAATCTCGGGATGATATTCGATAGCATGTTTAAGTTATCCGCGCAAAATACGGCTATCTGCGATACGTCGAAAAATAGGAATAAAGTCGTCAAATCGCTTGTTGGCAGCACTTGGAGCGCAAATAAAAAACTTTGTTGACCTCGTTGTTCTTGGGCAGCTATGAGGTATCTGGTATGAATTGAAAAGTATTGTGACCTTTCAGAACGCCGTATTAGAACACCTATGGACCATCTTCAAGATTAGTCAAAGATCCTTCTCTTACGTCAATCTAGCAATAGGCCTGGGTGCTTCAGAGAGGATCCTAGCCATCTTATGGTTGCTATCAGTATGTATCACGAAGAACCTGGATAGAATTCAGACTAATGCAGGGATAGCCGAACTGCGTCTCTCTTTTAATGTGCAGGTCCGTTCTTTCAAACACGATAGCATATATAAGTCGTCCGCGCATGCAACAACAATTGCCCAAGTCTATAGCCGGCATTACATTCGTATCTGATGAGGAAACCTTTTTGACAGCCTATACACCGATCGGCCGGTGTGCGGTAAACCTGTGTGGTCTGATAACGTATGTTTGACGTAATGGAAAAATGTTCAGTTCTGCCAGACTTCTCATGACTTCAATAGAAAACTCACATGAGGCGACAATGATCCTTCTTGTGCGTAAACACAACAATATGTTTCTGCTAGAGTGTTACAAAACGAAAATCCGAACCCTAACTTTATGGATAAACATCTACCGCCCAGGAATGTCAGGGAGGATCTGGGGGTAGAAGAACAGAGGTACAAAATATAGCCTCTAAATCAGCATACATATCAAACAGGATTAAATTTTCTCTACACTAATGCAGACTTCTAAAATGTCTTCCGAAAAGGCCTTCGTCCATAACAAGATTTCTGAAAATGTTTATGAAATACCTATATAAGTGCTCCATGTATCAAAGATCTCCAATCTACATAAGGCTTCAAAATAGAAGATCTTTAAGGATATACTCTTTAGGCATTCTAAAAGGCATTTAATTTTTAATTTAATCTCTAAACGACTTCAATCTATAAAATGCATTTTCAAGGGCTATAAAAGAAAAATTTGGATTTAGTCCTAAGACACGAGGGATCTAAAAGCGATATTTCGATTCCGCACAGATTGGATCATATCAATTTTCCAATTCAATAAACCTATTTCTAAATTTCCTCCTTTTTCTTATCTTTTTTACAGCGCTTGGAACAACAACTCAATCCATTTTCACCAACACTACGACCCATTGTATCGCACACCTCATCCATTTCGAATTCTAACGACAATAATACATATTTACTGGAATTTTGTAAAAATCTCATCGAAACCTATTTAGCTGTACTCATTCATTTGGAATCTCAACGTTCGAAAACGGATCGGGTGTTGAATGCCCTAAATACCTTCCGTTTAACATACGAAGACAATCAATTTGCCATCGAAGCTACACGTTTTAAACCAATATCGGCGGGATGTGCTCATTGTGCCTGCGTGGTGGATGGGGTGGCGTATTTTTGGGGAACTAATGGTGTGCCTTGCAACTATAGTGTAAGCAAGCCATCGGGTAAGATATATATTTTTTAAATTATTTTTTTTAGTTTTTAATGTATTCTTGATATTTGTTTCAGACTCTCCTGAACCTCCTTATGCTGTGAAAAGTATGGAATTACTTTCCCAGTTAAATCTGCATGTGCATGCGGTGAAATGTGGTCGCCAACATACCTTGATATTGACCAATAATGGGGTGGGTTTCGGATGTACTGTTTTTTGTTTTGTTTTATTAATTTTGAATTTTATTTCCAGTTGTATTCCCTGGGCAACAACAATCTGTGCCAATTGGGTATTGGAAAACACATGCAAATGACTCTGCAACCCATGCTGGTTAAGGCTTTCGATGGTAAAAATATAACTATTTTAGAAGCAGGACAATATCATAATGCAGTGGTAGCTGATGGTATGCTATATACCTGGGGGTAGGTATTTCCTCTTCCATTATTGAAATTATAGATTAATTTGCTTCTTTTTTAAACTCAAAAAAAAGGTGGGGTGTCTATGGCCAGCTGGGTCATGGTGATACTGAAAATGCAGCTGAACCCAAATTGGTTTCATTTTTCAAATATAAGGTATTACGAATTCGAATAGAATATAGTCTTGGATAATTTCTAATATATATGTTTATTCCTTAAGAAAATCCTGCAAGTCTCTTTGGGACATGCTCACACATTGGTGCTATGTGAAGGTCCAAAAGATCGTAACACAACCGAACTTTATGTTTTTGGTTCGAATAATTTCGGTCAATTGGGTTTGGCCGGCAGTTTGAAGACAGTAAGCAGCGAACCAAACGCTGCGGCAGCTTCTTCCAGCGATGATGGCATTAATTATAGTGGTCAGGTGAAATATGTACTGCCTCAGCGACTGGAGATAACGGGAGCAGCAAGAATAAGACTGATACATACGAAATTTTTCACTAATGTGAGTAGATGATTCAAAATCTCCTTTCTTCTTTTGGAAATAAAAATGTTTCTTTATCTCCTTCTTCCAGTTGGTTGTTGATGAAAATGAGAAAATGTATACCTGGGGCTCCTCGCCTCAGGCCTTGCGTCTTGCCAATCAAATTAAACGTAGAGCAAATGCCAAACAGAAAAACGAAGAGGCCCAGAGGCGAGAGATGAGCAAAAGGTTTGAGGCCACTCTCAGTGAAAATGTTGAAGTGACAACCGTAGAAGCGGATATAAATGTAGTGCCCACCGTTGTTGATGCGCCCTTGGTGGCAGCTACAGCTACAACGCCAAGTGTTACCTTAACCTCGCCGATTTTGGAAAAACCCCTAACTTCGAGTAGTGATGCAGATATTAGCATAGTTAAAGATCCAATTGCACTAATCTCGGAGGAGATCACTGCCCCCGTTGTAGCAGCACCGGCAACAGCAACAGTTGTAGATGCTCCTGTTGCCGATTTAAATATACAATTGATAGAAGATGAAATTGTTGCCGATATACCAGTGGTGAAAACGACAGCGACGGCGACCTCGGCCTCCACCACAAGTAATGCTCAGGAAAAAATTGAAACGCAAAGTGAGACAACTGCCGTACCACCAACTGCAGCCATTATTGATGTGGATCCCTGTGAGCATATGACACCACATTTGGTGGATACCTCAGAGGTGGCAGGGCAGATATTACAGGTAATTTGTCTTTTCCGAAAATATTTGTTTAGAATTCTCTTAATTTTCAAAAATCTCTTCCAGGTTTCAAGTGGCCTTTTCCACTTTGCTTTGATCTCATCATCATGTACCCTCTACACCTGGGGTAAGAATTTGGAACATCAGCTGGGTACGGAGGATAAGGAGAGGCGTGCCGTCAGTAAACCCTCACCCATTGATAGTATTGATCGTCCCATGTATGTGGATTGTGGAGCTGATTTTACTCTAGTCATGACAACAGATTTTGTTGTCAAAGCTTTTGGTGGAAATTCGAATGGACAGGTGGGTAGATTTTTTTATAACAGATTATTTTCTAAACGACTAGGGGAGTTGTCAATCTCCTACTAGGCGCGTCTTTCCGGGTGACTAATGGGAAGGGGGTCTCCATGATGTGCAGGGTGAAACTGACCTAGGTCAACTAAGCCAGCTTTTCTCTGCACTTCGTAGAAACCATGGGGATCTACAAATCCCCCGTGGACCAAAATGGATCGGGGTAGTGCCCTTAAATTCGTGGGGCGAGATGCGAATTTGCTTTCGGAGAGGGAGGTTCACCTCATCAAGGGCAAGATGAGATTCGTAAGGAAGTTCGAAAGAATCTATCCGCACGCTCTCCATCGTGAGCTCCAAATGGAGGGGATCTCCCTCCAGAATCTAACTGGAATCGGCCCACTGTCTCTGACAAGGGTGCGAAACCGACTTCTGATTCGAAGCCTAATCCGAGTCAAAAGGCAAAGGAAAAGGAGGCTAGGATATCCCGACACAAAATGTCATCCTCGTGAAAACTGTTGACGGCTTTGGTGCACTCTGGGAAGAAGCAAACCTTGCTGTGGTCTCCCCATCTAAGATTCCAACCAGACGGGTCATCTCAGCAAAGATATTTTCGAAGTTACCTTAGAAGTACAAGGCGTGGTCTTTAAGAGTTTAAGGCGTGGATTTTTTTAAAGATATTATCGAAGGGACCTTAGGAGAACAAGGCGTGGAATATTATCAAAGGGTCTTTAAGAGATTAAGGCGTGTTTTTTTAAAGATATTTTCGAAGGGACCTTAGGAGAACAAGGCATGGAGTATTTGCAAAGGGTCTTTAAGAGTTTAAGGCGTGGATTTTTTAAAGATATTTTAGAAGGGACCTTAGGAGAACAAGGCGTGGAATTTTTTCAAAGGGTCTTTAAGAGTTTAAGGCGTGGATTTTTTAAAGATATTTTCGAAGGGACCTTAGGAGAACAAGGCGTGGAATATTTTCAAAGGGTCTTTAAGAGTTTAAGGCGTGGATTTTTTAAAGATATTTTCGAAGGGACCTTAGGAGAACAAGGCTTGGAATATTTCCAAAGGGTCTTTAAGCGTGGATTTTTTAAAGACCTTAGGAGAACAAGGCGAGGAATATTTTCAAAGGGTCTTTAAGCGTGAATTTTTTAAAAGACCTTAGGATAACAAGGCGTGGAATATTTTCAAAGGGTCTTGAAGAGTTCAAGGCGTGGATTTTTTAAAGATATTTTCGAAATGGATTTTTAGGAATATTTTCAAAAGGACTTTATGTTAATTTGTTTTTCTTCTTTTCCCTTTCCAGTGTGGTCGTGATCTGGGTGCCTGTATAGACAATAAAATGAAACAGCGAGTCGTTTGCTTGCCCACCACCAAACGTCTGATGCGTTTCGAAAGCCAGTGTGTTGAAGTTCCCGTCGAAATTAATTTACCACGTCCTCGCATACGTTTGGACTATGAGCCAGTTCGTTATCTCAAGACAATACCACGCTATAAATGTTATTTCCTACAGGAGGCGGAAATCGATTTTGAACAATGCTATGATATGGCTTCAAGAAGTTCGGCGAATCAAATAACCGGCCAGGAATCAGATGATATGATCTCATCATTGGAAAATATAAGTCAAAATGAAATCTCCTCACTGCAGGCATCACCAAATATGCCGCTGTTGGCCAACGATCACCTGCTCGATCCAAATCAATTGACGGCAAATAGTTCGTATGAATGTTCGCCGGATGAACAGAGCTACTGTCGGCTACCGAATGCCTGTAATATGTCAACAAGTATTACGGATAATGGCAACAGTATGGGTGGTCTGATGAATATGAAATCTCAAAACCCAGGAGACCATCCAACAATGAAAAATAACAATTCTGAGGATAGCGAAGAATTGCAACAGCTATGTAATTATATCCACTATTGTCTATATATTTTCCATGGCCTTTATAATCCTGAAAAAGTGCGAGAATTCTCCAAAGACCGTCTGGAATATCGCATACGCACCCTTATGTTAAATTTCAAATATGTTGATGCCTTTGAGCTATGTTTGCGTAGCGTACACAATGCCAGTTGTGCCCTTAAAATTTTCGAATATTTCTCCAAGGATACCGGTTATGTGCCACTACGTAGGGCGGATCTAAGATTTCTCATTTACTATCTGATGCAACATTTTATGGAACGCAATTACGATTTGTCGCTGTGTGAGAATTTCTTTTTGGCAGATTTGGATTATTATCTGCTCGAATTGGCCTATGTATTGTACTTCAATAATAACAATACCGAACTGGAACAGAATCTTAATGAGAAATTTAAAAATCTCATAGCACGCAGTGAGGATAGTAATCAACAGCTGAATATCAACTTTCAGCAGCAGCAAACACTCGGAGGCGGAGCGCCCGCCGAAGCCGATGTACATCTTGCCACACATAAACTTCAGGATACCGATGTGATATTTGAATTATTAAGTGTGAAATTTAAGACAATTATTTGCCAGCGCCTTTTAAAGTTTTGCAATACATAATCTAGCAGCAGGATCAGCATCAAATCTAAATCTAAGCAAGCCAGCGAAGACGGTGTTACACTTATTGTCATTATTATTCTATTCGTTTTAAGTTAAACCAAAACAAAAATTATTTATGTTGGCAACCACCCATGGGACAAAATTAATTTTCTCGTATTTGTGTTTTTTTAATTTATTTGAAGTTTTTATAAAAAAGTGTTTTATTTTAATGGAATTGATTATTTTATATTTGTAGTTTTTTTTTTGTTTATTCGTGTACGTTATTATCATTTGTAGTTTTAGATTATAATTTTTTTGTGTATTTATTTTGTAAATCATCTTCCTCCTTAACCGTCACCCCATTACTATTATATCCACAAATCCACCACCACCACCTACATCCTTACATAAATACTATTAATTTATTATTGTTATTTTGTTGTAGTTTTATAAAAATTTATGTATTTTTATCCAAAAACAATTATTTTTTTGTGTGTGAAATTAAGAGTGTTTAATTAATTTGAAATTCTAAAGTTATTTTTTTTTTTAATTTCTATTGCAGTAGAGAGGTTATGTACTTTTACAAAATTTGTTAAGTTTCATAGAAATTTTCAAAACAAATTATGAAAATTGACCGCCAATATATGGACCAGGGGTCAGGGTCGTTGGGGTCGTCACTAGAAGGACTTCGGGGTACAGAATTTAGACAGGCCTCAATTCGGGTCAAAATTTTTGCAAACTTCTCGAATGTGAAATTTATTTTGGCATACATTTGCACAAGTGAATTTTGAAAGATTTGACTCCGACCTCCCACCAACCGCAGATATAAGGAGCGCCAGGAGGAATAAACTTCCAATTGAGATTTTGGTGGCAATTGCTTGCAATCGTGTTGTTTTGTAAATTTTTCATAAAAGCCAGTCGATTCCGCTTTATTAGATCAACTGCTCCAACAAAATTGGTTCCATTGTCAGAGTAGTAGTAGTGGATGCCCGTCGACTACAAATCTGGAGAAAGCAGCAGAAATGCGTAGGATGATAAGTAGCTTGCTGTGGTTGTCGTAGCGAAGCACACAAAAACAAGTTCGACCAGTAAAATTTTTAATGTTGAAGGGTCCCTAAAATCTACTCCAGTATTGGCAAAGGGCCTAGATACGTTCGGGCAGAAGGAAAACAATTATTTGCTCCTGCTCTTATGAATTATGCACGAAATTTATTCTTTTTGACCAATGACTGGAGACCGAATATTCAGAATTCCGCCATTAAAACTCGGGTCATTAATTGATTACCTCCATGTAGGGTGACATCGTGAGTAAAGTCTACTAATAATTGGCTAAGTGTTGCTCCGTGAGGTAATATCATAGGGTGTCGTTCACCGGACGTGAGCGCGGGTGATTTTACCAAACTGCCATTTGAACGCATAACTTCTTTTGAGTCCAGAAATGGGTTAAGTGCCAAAAGAGAACTGGATAAAGAAAATCGGGTTTTCCATCCTGAATTTTTGGTGTCGAACGACCTTAATGATAATATTTAAAACCCCAGAAGGAAAATTTCGGCATTGGTCAATGTTATGGTTGTATTATTTGTTTGCAACCTGGTGCCCCTATATACATAAAGAGATAGCTTCGTCCGAATTATTTACTAAAAGTCTGTCAAATACCCCAAACATTTCGAGGAAGAAGCGTTTTTATAAAATATTGAATATTCAGATAATAAAATCTATAGTAGACCTGTTTAGTTATAGCCTCCACAATTACAAAAGTTTCTAGCCCAATTTTTCATCTTTCAATTTTCAACTTTTCTATCTTTTTTTATAGAGGATAATAATCTTCCGGTATACATGTTTTGACACAAACCCCATACAAGAGTCTCAATCGATTTTAGGTTATTGAATGTCAGCCTGTACGCCTTGATAGTCGTTGGAAAAAATATTCTTTAAAAAATCTACGCCTTGATAGTCGTTGGAGAAAATATTATTTTAAAAATCTATGACGATATTATTATTTTTTGGTAGGAAGATTTGACATCCCATGAGAACATGAAAAATTAAATTAAAGCCGATTCGGATTATAAAGGTTCCAAAAATTCACAAAACCCGGAAATTTGGGATGTAGCGTTATATGGGTGTTACCCTAAAAAAGATCCAATATTAATAAGTTTTAGTAGGGAGATGTTCAACCCCGGTAAGAATTCATAACACCAATTTACGAATATTGGGGGGAACGTAATATGGGAGCTACCCTAATAAATGGACCAATAATGATAATGTCTGGTAGGAAGATTTTCTCCCCAGTGACAACCCAAAATATTAAATTACAGCTGGTTAGGTTGAAAACGTGCCCAAACTCCCCACTAATATTGAAAAATTTTAGTAGGAAGATGTTCAACCCGGTAAGAACACAAAATACCAAAGTACAATCGATTAGGTAGAAAAGCCTGCCCAAAAGCTTCACAAAACCGAATAATGGGGGTGCCGTTATACGAGAGCTACCCTAAAAAATGGCCCAGTTTCTAACCAGTGATAAAACAAAATAGCAAATTACAGTTGATTTGTTCAAAAAAAGTTCCTTGTTTCCTGATTCGTTAAGCTCTACAGCTCTACCTTACTTATGGTGTTGGGCCAGAATATTCTGCTTATGATCCTAAGGTATTTGTTTATGAATATCTGCGACTTTCTATTGAGCTTCCTAGATAACAAAAACCATGGGCGTATTCAATTGCTTGGTATTGTAGCATGATGTATTCCGTACTGGTGTTAATATTCATGGCCTTGATGTAGAACTCAAGTCCAACATTGCGAATCAGTCTCTCCAGGTCTTCTAATTTTGACTGTGTGATATCATCCCCATAATCTAAGTCTCTGAGTTGTCTTGAGAGACTTCATGTTATGCCTTCAGACTTCATTCATTATTTCATCCAGTACAATTGTGAACAGCAGGGGTGACAAAGGCCATTATTGTTTCACTCCTTCGTTAGTGCGAAACGGATGGCTATGTTCCCCTTGTAAAGAACTGAGAGTTATGCATCTTTATATATCGCTCTTATTATTCCGATTATTTTCTGGCATATTCCCATCGAAAGCTTTCTTCAAATCGATGAACAGTAGATACAGGATGTGCGACTTTTTTTAGATTGTTCTATTATGACTCGTTAGATGTTGTGCTGGTTCAACAGCTTTGGTCTAAAGCCAGCCAGGTTCATCTCTCAGAATATATTTTACTTGCTTTTAAATTATTTTTTGTATTATGGTTGCGAGAATTTTTTATATGATGTTGATCAGGATTAGTCCTCTCCAGTTGTTGCAATCTTTCAACTCGCCATTTTTTTTTTTTTTTTTTTTTGTAATTCTCGCCTCGTTTTAGATATTTTTAATTTGCCATTCAGAGTTCTGGTTGCAGAAAAGTGGCAAATTTTCGGTATTTTGAAAGTCCTAGTCGAAGGTTCGAGCCCCTAAGTAACAGTAATTTGTTACTTTCTCACAGATTATTTGAAATTTAAGTCCATGCTTCACATATGCTCCCTACCTATTTCAGGCATTTTTAAAGACTAACTTTTGGAGGAGAATTTAAAATCAGACCCTTTTTTAATTACCGGTATATCCATTTTTTATGGCAAAGTGATGTTTAAAAAATTAATATGTAATTGTTTTCTAGTATGAAAACCGTTAGAACTTTCAAGAAAAAAAAATAAATTCTGGAAGCATGGAATAAATTGAGCTTATTGAATTAGGAATGCACTCAAATTACAGTGAAAAAATTTCGACATTATCAAGCTTAAAATTTTGAATTACTTTTCACAATTCATTTAAGACTTATTTCGAAAATAATAAATAAAGTATTATATATGTAGTTGAATATGGACTATAAGAGTCCATACACAACTACATATAGAATACTTTATTTATATCCGATTATTTCAAATCATCTAAACATATAAACATATGCTCATCCCAAACACTTAACAAATAAATAGATAATATTAGCCAAGTTCATTTTGTAGCTTTTTAAAAGAAACCAATTTTCTAAACTAATTATTGCAAAATAGAATTAATTATTATTTTTTATATAAATTCTTGGCACCCTTGTTCAATAAAAAAAACTAATAGGCTCCGTTAAAAACAATTTACACCAAAGTTATAACAAAAATTGAATAAAAAAAAAAATAAAAACCAATTTTTTTCGTCACACGTGGCATGTGATGAACTAAATTTGAATTAAATAGTTTTCTTTTTTAATAAAATAAAAAATAAAAAGAAATGCCTCAAAAAGCTTGCCCTTATAAATTATTTATTTTTTTTCTAATATATATCTTGCATATCTAAGAAGAAGGCATTGTAACCAAATAATATAAAAATAAACAAAATAATTAAAAAAAAACAAATTGCTTTAAATGTTAACACACTACTGTTTATAAATACTAACACAAAAGAAAACAAAAAAAAATACTTAACTACACACAATAAAGAAAATAATAAGAAAAGGAAAACAAATAATATAATACTAAATAAATATAATTATTATTTTTTATTTATTGTATGTATTAAAACAAAAAATATTAAGTTATTTGTCTTCGCATAATTAAAAAAAGAAACAAACAACCAACAATATTAAAACTAATTCAAAAAAGGTAAATAAAAGAAAAAATTCAATTTTATATTCTAAACTAAAAATATAAAGAATTTTTTATTCAAAAGACGGGAGGATATTGGTAAGAAAATATAATATAAACATAACCTAACAAAAAGCCGAATGAATCACAAATTGCAAGTTTTGTAATATTTATACCCTACAAAACTATTTTGTCAGGGTATTATAGCTTTGTGCAGACCCAAGAGTTTGTAACGCCGCGAAATATTGGACCTTGACCCACCTTTAAGTATACCGATCGTCATATCTCGACTAGCTAAGTCGATCTACACATATGTGTCCGTCCATCTGTTCATTGTAATTTGTAAACACTAATCTTCACGAAATTTCGCATATAGGATGGGTTCTGCCCAACGAAGACCCCTATTGCTTTTGATAAAAATCGGTTAATATTTAGTGCATGGAATGGACCAAAGACTTAATTTTTGACTGTTTTTCTGGCAGACTAATTTTCAATTTGTTCAAAGGTGGCTGTTACCGTTCGCAATGTTCGACCCATTATATCGATGTCATCGGCGTAGGCGAGTAACATGTGTTGTTTGGTGTACACAATGCCATTTCTGTTCACCTTTGCGTATGATTTTTCCAGCAGGATGTTAAAAAGATCACACTACAAACTGTCACCTTGTCTGAATCCTCGTTCGGTATTGGAGGGCTCCGATAGGTCCTTTCCGACTTTAACTGCTGACCTTGTGCCATATCCTGAATAGCCGTATTAATTTTGCAAGAATTCCGAACGTAGACATGGCTTTAAACACCTTTGAACGAAAAGGGCTGTCGAATGCGGCTTTATAGTCGACGAGTAGATGGTATGTGTCCATGTGTTTTTCGTGTGTCTTTTCCAGGATTTGGCGCAAAGTGAAAATCTGGTCAATGATGGATTTGCCAGGTCTGAAGCCGCATTGGTATGGTCCAATAATGTCATTTACCATTGGTAAACCATTACCACACTAGAGGGCGGACATATAGCGCTCATCGCTTTGAACGCTTATAATTTTCGGTGATGATCAGATAATAATTTTGGGATGACGTGGGTCGAAAATGTAATTTGTTGTGTTTTTTCGAGTCGATCTATAGGCCACAATTGAAAGGGGAATTGGGACAAGTAATTAGAATTAGATTTTCGTGGATGTTGTGTGGGGTATCATATGGTTGGCCACATCCGACTATACCCCTCCGCTGTCTGATTTTTTATTACAAGCGTGGCTCAAAATAATTATTTTTAAATTTAAGCGTAAACTTGATTAAAACCTTATTTTTAAATACACGAGATAACTTTTTACACTAACATAAAGTGGACCGTATGTACAATTTGTCATTCTTTGACACAACACCTTGAAATGTTTACCAGAGACCCTACAAAGTGCACATACATTTTTCATGCGAATAAAATTGTACGTGGGTTTAAACATGTCCCGTGCATATAATCATGACAGCACTATGATTTTTATACCTGAGCCATCTAATGTTTGTCACCTTCAAGTTGATGCCGTATGAATAACTGATAAACAGTAGGCTCTTCGAAGGCAGATATTGATTGTAACGCGTCGACTTCAGACGACAAGTCGGTGCTTCTGAGACAGTCGACCACTGGGGAAAGGAGTCCTAAGTGGATATTTCAAAGACATTATGGAATCCTTGCTGTCAACTACAACAACCAAATTGATAAAGAAGCCATGAATAGGAAAGGGTATAGGATGACAATTTGCTACTGCTAACGATATGCAGATAAGAGCCCCATCGTGACAAGCAAAAAGGAATTCACCAGGATCACGAAGCACCTTATGACCGTGATCGTCAAATTGCGCGTGGTTGATCATGAACGGCAACAATAACTCCATTAACCTTTTTAAATACACAACGAAAATCAACTGTGGGGAACTGGCAAAGAAACCTTGTTTACGACATACACAGCAATAGGCCGGTCTGTGGTCAACTATGCGGCGCCAGTGTGGTCCGCTAATGTCAGTGCAACGCAGTGGAAGGGTCTTCAATCCTGCCAGAATGCTGCCCTGAGGACTGCAACACGGTGTCTCCTCATGACACCAATAGACCACTTACATGAGGAGACGAAGATCCATCCTGTGCGTCAACACAACAAGATGTTGTCGATGCAAAACCTGTTTGGGTGTTATAGGAAAAGCCATCCAAAACGTTACCTAATGGATAGGCACGCACCACCTGGGAATGTCAGGAAGGATCTCCCTGATCTGGAGAGAGAGGTCCAAAGGTACAAAATGGAGCATCTATATCAACAGGCATATCAAGCAGGAATGAATTGTGTTCACACGGATGCGGTTGAGGAAGCAATTCGATAATATCGTGTGAATACCATCCTCGGAGATCACCCTCCTCCTACGATAGCTGCAGAAGAGCAGAAGTTACCTCGACAAACCAGAGTGGTATTGGCACAACTAAGATGGTGTAGCCGCCTCAATTCATATTAGGCAGGAATTGATGGAGAGGTACTTGAAAAAATATTCTTTAAAAAATCCACGCCTATTTTGGAACTCGAAAATAATATTGTTAAAAAAATGTTGGTCTTTTTTGGTACTCGAAAAAAAAAATTCTTTGTTGGTCCTAGAATTTTTTTCTTTAAAAAAATGCACTCCTGTGCACTGATCTAGGAAGTTTTCGCTGGGGGTTCAAGGGGCTGCAGGTTCTTCCTCTTTGAACCTAACGATTCCGTAAGATCTGTTATACGAAGTGGAGGTTCAGTTCACGAAGTTAATATATTTCAGTTGAATGCCCACGGACTTCTTGTAGACGAGCTGAAGGATCAGAAAGTCATGCATAGACAATCAGAAAGTTCAAGGAGTCTTCGATGAGGTATCTAAGAGTTTTAAAGATCAGCTGCAGATTGATAAGAATCTCTGTAGACGAGCTGCCGGTAGCGTAGCTATATCTATGAAATTTATGAAGTTACAGAAAATCTTTATAGACGAGTTAATAGTTCACCGTGGGTCTTTATACTTTCTAAAAGTTTCGAGAGACATTATAGACGAGGCTGAAGGTCCGCGCAGACTTTATATGTGAACCAGAAAGTCTTTAAAGATGAGCTAAAAAATCATAGAGTTTTTATACCCTTGATGAAGGTTTATGGAGGCTCACATAGACTTCCTGAAGCTTCAATGAGTCTTTATAGGCAAGGGTAATTTGAGGGAGTTTCAAAAAACCTTGGCGCTTCAGCTTCATCGGCGAGTTGGAATTCAGCATAGGCTTGAGATTTTGTCCGCTCATTAAGGAACGTCCAATTAAATTGTTCCGCCGCGCTTAATGAAATATTTCATGGATGAAATACTTCGCTGAGTTGGCAATCCCTGGCCGAGTTGAACTACGGCAGTTCCGGTGCGTCATCAGATTGTTTTGTGTTTTCCCTTCCACCTATGGACAGATGTCATTTCCGGCAAACTCAAAGGAATTATATCATAATAAACATTGTGTCTTTATATTAATAAATTTCTTTGCCCTTAAAATACCCATACGGTCTTGAGATCAACATGAAAGGTACTTGTTTTGGAGACCCATATCTCAGAAGGTGTGGACCTTATTAATAATTGAATTACATTTTTGCAATCCGCACTTCAGTCGCTCTTAATTGATACCCCATATTGCTTTGATGAATTTTAAAGGGTTTTCGCGGAATTTCGGAGTTACATACCTCAAAAAAATTGTCTTCTTCTAAGAGAAAATTTAATTTTTGTAATCAGAACTTCAACCGCTTTAAATTGATACTCATAATAAATTGAATTATTGAAAAGCTTTATAAAATACAAGGAGGCTCCCTGCGGAACTTTGGAGGCTCATATCATATAAGGAAGGAAGTTCGAATTTGTCTGATAAGATATGTACATTATTGAAATCCACACCTTAATTGAAACCCACATTGCTTTAGATGATTTAAAAAGAATCCCCACGGGTCAAATATCTCAGGAAATATGGAGTTTTTCGCTATTCGAAAAACGTTTTTGAAATCAGAACTTCAACCGCTTTTGCAGAACTTTGGAGGCATATAACTCGGATTTTGCACATGTGGTAAACATTTAAAAATGATCCGCGAGCGGGCCGTAGGCTAAACTAAAGCCCAACTTTTTTCTTAATGTTAGATTTACTGTTCAGTATATTATAAATTATTCTAGCACACTACTGAGTAAGTTCTACAGTATTCAATATTTTTTATTGTATAAACATAATACTACAATTTCAATACAAAAAGAGAATAACTATCTTCTACGACTAAAAACTACAAAATCGCAAAAAGAAAATCTTACTTTTCAACATCAGGCTTTTTTGTTCTTTGAGTTATTTGACCATTACAACCTCTCCATTTCTTTCCCATTACAATTTCAATTTAATGCTATCGGTAGTCCAACGTTTAGTTTGAACATTTTTGATGGCATTATCACAATAGAATTGTTCCTCTGAACGTTCGGGCAGAGATTCACGTATTTGCAGAAGTTGTGGAACATCTTTGAGGGTGGTGAGTGCATCAATTATGGCCTTGGTACATTTAACACGTTTAGCCAATTCTAATTTATCACTGGCCGTACTCATATTCGAGAGGAACATATAGATAACGGAGGGAGGTGCACCCAGTTCATGTAACCTCATTATAGCCAATTCCAAGGAGATATTAATGTGAAATTGTTTTTGCTTAATGGGATGCCATGTGGGTACTTGTTCGAAAATGTGCTGGAGGTCAGCATATGCCTGAGATCTTGCCCGCTCATTAAGGGCTGTCCAATCAAATTGTCCTGCGGAAATATGTTGATCATTGCACAGACGATAGGGTGAGATGATTTGTGTGATATCAGGATCTTTCCAATTGGTGTTTTTGGCACAACAGGCATATAGAACCTCTACTGGACTGGAATTAACATCAACCATATTGTGTAGAGTATTCCGTTCGGCCTCGACCAAGGCGAATAGTTTCAGAGAGGCATGCAATATTTGTTGGTAAAGACCGCAAACACGATTATTGGCACAATGGCTCATCATGGCTTGCAGTTTGGCCTTGCGTTCGGTCATCGATTGCAAACAGAGAACTGTTTGAAATTCCAGCAGCATAGCTTCATTATATCTACCCAAATCTTTGAGTAAATCAATGGCCTCTTCCACATGACGTTGTGACAAATATTGCAAATAATGTTGTAGGGCCTTTGGGCGAGTCTTTAAAATCTCCAGGAAGTCTTTACGATTTAAAGTTTTATCCAGAAAGAGAATAACGTTGAGTAGGGAATCTCCAGGGCACCCAATTTCAATGACCGCATCTAAAAGTTGTTGTTTATCCTGCAAAGATTTAAATACCTCAAAGCCAACAATTTTCCCTTGCAGTAATTTTCGGGCCGTGGCCATTGGCGAGGGTGTGTACAGGGTGTTTTGAATTTGTCTTCGTAGCAGTTTTAATTCCTCCTCAGGTTTCATTCCCTTCGGTATCATGTTATCATCCATTGATTGTTCATCCAAGAGGAGTTTTAATTCCTCATCGGAAATTAGCGATTTAATTGAGAGATTATAGGAACTGGCTGTATTGTCAAAGCTTGCCTCGGAAATTGTATCATCATTGAGTATGCCGCCAGATGCGATTGCGATGCCTCCTCCACCGCCACCACTGCTAATATCCACACTTATTTCGAGCGACTTCAAATCGATATCCTCGTTATCATCATCGAAGTTGAATGCCCGACCAGAACGATTCCAATAGCCATCATCTTCCAGATTGGAACCCATTTCACGGCTATGCTTGCGTCCAAAGACTAGAGTTGGGTAGTTCCGGAACGAACTAGTTCATTGGAACTATTCCGAGAAAGGAACGAACGGAACTAGTTCCAGTTCTTTAATTAATATAATTCCTTTCTCTGATCCAGTTCCTTTTTTTGAACTATTTGAAGCAAAAGAACTGTATGGAGCAAAGGAACTATATGGAGCAAAGGAACTATTTGGAGCATAGGAACTATTGGAAATATGAGCAAAGGAACTATATATGGAAAAACGAAAAAAAAATAATAAAAGAGAGAGAGAGAGATTCAAAAGAACAGTGGGAAGCCTCCAAGACTCCAGCCTTCATAAAATTCGCTTGTTAATCGTCGTTCTGCCAAGACTCAAGCGACGTCGTACGCAAACCTTCGCCAACAAATGGTCTGTTCCAGTACTTTTTATACCCTCCACCATAGTATGGAGGGTATATTAATTTTGTCATTCCGTTTGTAACTCATCGAAATATTCATTTCCGACCCTATAAAGTATATATATTCTTGATCAGGGTAAAATTCTAAGACGATCTAGCCATGTCCGTCCGTCTGTTGTAATCACGCTATCTTCTGAAGGAATTGAGATAAGGTGCTGAAATTTTGCATAGGGTTGTCTTTTGTCTGCAGGCAGGTCAAGTTCGAAGATGGGATATATCGGTCCACGTTTAGGCATAGCTCCCATATAAGGGTACCCCCCAATTTTCGGTATTTTGGGGTTCTTGAGCGCGTTTTTCAAGCGAATTTGTAGTAAATGTATCCACAAAAAATTATAAATATAGGTCCACTTTTTCTTGTAGCCCCCATATAACGGTACCTCCTAATTTTCAGTATTTTTTTAGTTTTTATCGTATTTTTCACCGAATTGGCTGTAATTTAGTATTTTGAGTTCTTAGCAGGTACCAAATCTCTCCACAAAAAAATTTAAATATAGGTCAATTTTTTCGGATATCCCCCATATAAGGGTACCCCCAATTTCGGTATTTTGGGGTTCTTGAGCGCGCTTTTCAACCGAATTCGCTGCAATTTTGTACATTGGGTTCATATTGCGTACCAAATATCGGCCCACTTTTTCTGGTAGCCCCCATATAAGGGCCCCCAAATTTTCGGTATTTTGAGGTTCTTAAGCGCGATTTTCAACCGAATTCGCTGAAATTTGTTACAGTGGGTTCATATTGGGTACCAAATATCTCTATTTAAAATTATAAATATCGGTCCACTTTTTCATTTCAAATACCTGTCAGTATACCTGTGGTGGAGGGTATCCAAAGTTCGGCCCGGCCGAACTTAACGCTTTTTCACTTGTTTAATAGTAAAGCTAGTAAAAGGGAAACATTTTAAGTCTCAAAGTACAAAATAATTTGAAAAGTTCGGGAACGCAAATCTAGTAAATATGCCAAAATTAGATGGCAATACTTCAAAATCAACATAACAAAAAGTTTACAAAGAGAAAGCCATTTTGTTTTGTGCTCTCTTAAATTTGATTCAATGCTTTACCAGTTTTATGGGTTCAGGAACGGTTTTCGAGTAAAAAGTTGCAAAACTTGTAAAATTAGTAGATTCTTTTAGGTTTTGGAACGGAGCTAAAATAAAAACGACGACTGAAAAAATTGAAAAACGTTCCACCTGCTAACGAATGGGAGGAGAAGACAAAATGGCCGATAAAGATGAACTCTAAATGGTATAACCGAAAGTTTACGAATGAGGTGGGATAGAGACTAAATGGAAACCGTGTTGTTTACGAATGAGGTTTAGGCAAATTATGATTAGGGATAAGTAAATCGACTTTCGATTAATCGACTTTTTGTATTGAAAAGTCTAATGCCATGTACAGACGAGCGTTGTTCCCTCTCTCATTCGTGGTTCGACTCTTAATTATGAAGTAATTACATAGTTCAAAGGAACTACATTAAGGAACTAGTTCCTTTTTAAAAAAGAAACGAGAATGATCGATCCGCTACGTGAACTAGATTGCCCAACTCTACCAAAGACAGGAATTTGTTTGCTGTCGTCTCTAAAGTAGTGTTGTGAAGTTCCCCGAGTTCAATTGAGCGATTCACTGAGAAGAACTACTGTAAAATACGATTAAACACAATCAAACCAACACGCCTAGACATGTTTTGATATGTGAATAACGTAACGTGAACGGATGGTGTACGTATTGACAACACTAACTAGTCAAATTCTCTACAGACTGCATAACGGTCACACAGATATGTTAATTAAGGACTACTAATTTACTCTATTACAATGATGAGTAACTGACAGTTCGCTCTTTGAGAGTTTGATGGGGCATGTAACAGCCAGACATCTTTTGTCAGTCAGACGCCATCAAATTGGCGCGTTAACAGCATTAAATTATTCATCAGTTCTTTTTGTTATTAATTTGTGAATAAAATAAATCTAAAATGGAAAAAAATATAGCAAACCGTGGCAGAGTAATTGGAAAGATCCCGATATCCAATCAAGTTCATCTGCGGAAAGGGTTTCCGGTAATAAATTCATTGTTAAAAAAGTGTGTGTGGCAGTGGCAGCAGCAGACCAATAATTGTGGTTTTTTGGAATGGTGTTTGCCTGAGCTATGCAATATTGGAATACAGCGGTGTAGGAAAAATTGAATCAGTCTTCGGTGGAACGTATTCGGTGATACAATAATGTGAATTTTCTATGCGGTTGTGTGCGCAAAGTGTGTCCCCTAAAATGTAGGGGAACAAGTCTAGTTTAGGGGCTCCACTCGGATCGCTTTGAAATTTTTACCGTAAGTAGTCCGGGTGGAGATCCTAAACTAGACTTAAGCCCACCTCTCAAATCATTTTGAAATTTTTAAATTCTGATTCTAATTATAACAACATACATTTTATAGGGCGAAATCTGTACTTCCCAAGGTATGGGGTTCCAAAGTTCCTAAAATACCCTTACTTTTTGTTAAATAACTAAAACTAAAATAACTAGGCTTGTTCGTCAACGTGGAACATAGACCAAGTAAGTAACAGATTTATCTATATTTTTATAATATTCATAGATATTTACATTTTAGGTTAAATCAAATTGAGATCCAACTATGAATGTATTAGAATCGGAAAATATATTTCTTAAATTGAACAGCGCCCAAGAAATGTATACGTAAATATGTCAAAAAGCCGGGAGGCTGTAAATTTACCACTTGTTCGAAATACTACAAACACTTTCAAAATGTACATCGAAGTGAGTGCGGACATAAATTTCGATTATTTCTCCGAACTGAAAAAATATTAAAAATATGGATTAACGTCCAAAATTCTTTGGAAATTTCAAAACAAATTTTACAAAAATTGTTCTCGTCCTTGTGTAATATTTCGAGTGTTTTACTTCGATATTTGATAATACACGAATCTTGAATGTTGAAGGGAACCCAGTTTGCGATATCATAGAATCAAATACATATGTAAGTAAGTCGCACAATGAGTAATTTCTATTAATTCAAAAAATATTTAATTGTTTTTTATTTATAGATAATGGTGAACAACTTGGAGATTTAATGTGCCAGCAAATACTACAGATACATGATAACATTTTATTCAAGAAATTTTTGACCGGTTAATCGTATTGGTAAGTGGATAATATATTTCATTTTAGGAGTATAACGTAAGTCTCTGATCAGAAAAAATCTACATTTGTAAAATTGGGAAGAACACGGTTTCAAATTTAACGACATTCAGACATCAATACTATGTGGTGTTTGAGATAGTGGTTTATTCGTTCCAAACTCCTTCTATATTTAAACTCCGTCCATTCCTCAACTAACAAATCAATATAAATATATATATATATATATATATATTTCTATATATATTCCTCTCAATGTAACTTACCACCTCGTGCAGTGCAGATTCTACAGACTTGTCCTTTATGTATGCGTGTGTGAATTGCAAAGAGAGGTGGTGTCTATACGACTCCTAATCTCCAGGTCGATCAGTCCTTCGAGAGTCTTGAGGAGAAAGGATGATAGGCTAATGGGTCTTTAGTCCTTTGGTGCAGAGTGGCTTGGTTTCCCCACTTTAGGAATGTAAGTAATCTTTACATTTTTCCATAGACCCGGAACGCACGAGAGTCAAAGACGGGGGGTAAATTTATCCGCTATGGATGATCAAATTATCCACCCAGAGTTTAAATTTATCCTTTATGGCGTTTACAATTATCTGCTATGGTGGACGCAATTATCCATATTTAGTGGTTATCCTCTCTCTCTACTCACTAGTTCTTTTAATTTCATTGTTCAGTTTGAGAGGTTTCAGTGCGGACCTCACTAAGCTGGTTGTTGCGATGTTGGAATAAATTCCCTTTTCTCTAGAAAATAAAACACAATTTTCAATTGTTTTTCTTGTTAAATTTTATTTTGTTTTTTTTCGGATTTTGTTTTCGAAGTTTTATTTTGAATTATAACTTAAATATTGAATTTGTCTTAAAATTTAATTAGTGTAAAAAAATATCATTATTAATTGTTTTTGTGAGAAAAAAAGAAGAAGGCGACAAAAATATTAATATAAATATTCTCAAAGATCTATCACTACAACAACGTATGGTCTTTTGTCTTTTTAAATGAAATGAACAGCGGATGTAAATGGAAATTTGTAATTTCCAAATAGATTAATACTTAAGAACAAAAAAAAAAAAAAAAATTATATATTCAAATAAAATAATATTTCTATTTTGTTTCCTAAAGACCATCCTTGATCCTCATGTTGAGACGTTGACTCTGTGTGTTTTAGAATATAAAAGAAAATTACTAAGTATATATTTTCTATATAGTAAGGCTATATTTTTTTGAAGTGAGCATATTTTGAAAAATATTGATCAATTTTGTCTTTTTTGTTGTAGAGGCTTTAAGCTAAGTTTTTGTTAATTATTTTTTTTCAATTATTATGAAAAATTGAATTTGATTTGTTGTCTGTCTTTTTTTTTGTTTTGATATTTTGTTATCGAGACTATAAGCTGTAATTTTAGGCGTTTATAAATAATTGTTTATATACAAAAAATAACACTAACATACCCGTACATGTTTTTTCATTAAGTACGTATTAATACATACGTAACCATTATCGAATTTTTGAAATGAAATAATTTACAATACATAGAACTACAAGCAAAAATAAAAAGAATACTAGGAATGTGACCCAGTGAATGCCCTCAGATATGGGATATAAAATATTGAAAGGCAGTTTTATCCGAAAAAAAAAGATTTTATACCTAACATGGGATTTGAAGATTACGAAATTTTATACATTGAATTATTAAAAAAATCTGAATTATAGATCTCAACCTCATTTATCAAAAGGGTCACTTATGCAAATGTTATAATTTTTCAAATTTATTTTAATGTAGCACAAAACACGTCACTTGTATCACACGGCATGCAAATACTCTTCCTCCAAAACCACACCCTGTCCTCCCTCCATTAACTCCTCCTTAAACAAACGTATGTCATTCATTATTGTCATCATTATTTTTCGTCGTTGAATTTGTCACAGGCTCTGATATCGATAGCAAATCCATAATTGAGCTAGCCGGTGGCAATGTATTTACCGGTGTAACATCTGAACTATTATTTGTTGTTGGCTGCGAGGACGATGTGGCTGTGTTGGCAGTTGTTGCCGCTGTCGCAGCTGGTATAATCGCGGCTGCCACTACTGGCACTATCTCAGCACCCGGTGCTGTACTCATTGATCGAGCAAATTTTTGCTTTTGTCTTTCCAGCCGTTCCTTTTCACGTTCAGCTTTGAGCTTTTCAAAATCATCCGCTTCACCATCAGCATCGGCGGCAGCGAGTAAATCGGCAGTGGATTTCATTTCCATATCTTCAACTGAGGTGTTTTGGTAGGGGGGAGAAAAAAGTAAGATATTATTAAGGGAAATTAAGGGATTTAAAAAAATTTTCGCTAAAGGAGTTTTAGTACAAAGTAAATTTTTGAACGACTTACAACAATGGTTATATATTTAAGGGGACCCCCCCCATTCTCAGGGTCAATTTTTTTTTTTTGATTTAATTCGATTCTACACTAATTCAAGAATGTCTCTACAAAATTTCAAGTGATAATCTCAAGAACTCTTGAAGATATAGCCGATTTATTGTGTCAGCATCAAGTGACGGCTAAAGGGTTTCTCAAACTTTAAACGCGTTTTTCTCTTTTGCGAATGGCGGGCACGATAACTCAAAAACTAATAACCCAATCGATTCCAAATTTTTACACGTTTCTCTGTGAGTGTATAGCTATCGTATGAACTAGGATAAAGCCAATCGGTGAAGATCTTCCTTATTTTTTAACTTGGTTTTTGGTCAAAAATCGGCGATTTTCCAAAAATATTTTTTCAAAGGTCCGCCATTTTGTTAATTTTAGAGCGAAGTCAATAATCCTAGTTCATACGAGAGCCAGACATGTACTCTTTCTAACACCGTTGAAATTTTCGGATTCCGATGTTCCAGTGAGGAGTTATCATGCCCGCCATCAAAAATAAGGACTTTTCTTTAATTACAAAAAACAACAACAAAGCAATAACAAAATTTTTTTGTAAATTATTTTTCTTCTTTTTTAAATCTTCAAATATATATGTGCAAAGTTACAAACCTTAACAAGCATTGGTATTGATTTACCAGCCCATTGAAAATCTTGAAAAATTAAAATCGAGAATGGGTGGGGTTCCCTTAATAGGAGTAACAACTAGAGATTTTCCAAAAAATGTTTAACTAAATATATATTGTATTGTGTGCAGTTAATATCTAGTTTGATATTTATACTTCTGATGTTTAGCTAGCAGAAAGGGGATTTTATGTTCTAAGAGATTTCTTCAGGAATCGTTGCAATTATAAACATTTTGTTAAATGATTTCAGTAGAATTGTTAGACCAAACTAAAGTTGAGCCGAAGTATATAAATTTCGATACGACCGCCACATTGAGCTTGTTTTGCTCTAGAATGCCATAACTAGTGACGAATGAAGGCTTATGCGCCAACAAATTTTTATTTATTTTTTAGACCCTGTCGTATGACCCGTGACCAAAAAACGACTACAAGGAAGGTCTTGCTCCCAGTTTTTATTGATTGCGGTTAAAAAAAAAAAGAAAAAGAAAACATAATTTAACACTCCGATCCGTCGTGTTGGACTCGAGTGACGTAGTTTTTCAAAATATAGAATCCTTTCCGATTTCCTGATATATTACAATGTGCAATTTTTCGGACGAAGTTGCGAATTTGCGATGGATGTAATAAAAGCAGTGGTCCTTTAAATTTTGCACATAGGTTGCTATTACTTCCACCATATGTGTCTATGCACATTTTCCATTCGAACTGTCTGTAATTTAGTATTCGGGGATTTTGGAGGATGAAATCATCTTTGCAGAAAATGTTCAATATGGGTCAATGTTTTGACATCTCCGGAGCTATACGTTAAATATTATCTATCGCAAGGACGGCGGAGATATGATTGCCACTGCATGTACATGCAGGTCGATGGTCATTTCATTCCGACTATACAATAACTTCTAATTTTAAGTCGACCAATACTCAGTTATCGACCAAGAATATCTCAGTTATCTACAATAACTTAAAAAAGTAAGAACAATATGAGCAAATCTTTATGTTTAGCGACATAAACCTTGTGTGGTCTTTGAAAAATAGGCAAAAATCCGACCACCTCAACAGCTAGCAAAAAGTTAATTCAGAAGAAACAGCTGACGTCGCTTGACCGCTAGAACTTTATCGATCGATAGGTCTGCCTGTGCAATACCTTGCTATTGAGGATCTGATATCCATCTATAAAGCGTCTTGTTAAAACTTTGTCCTGATGACCGATAGGTTAGGGCACCGATTTCATTGCAGTATAATATCATCACCATAGGAAAAAATATATAAGAACGAGTCCCTATGTATATTTATTTTCCTGAAATATATTGCATCCCTTGTCTTTTTCATACGCTCCACCACAAGGTAGAGTGAATATTGTATTTGTCATTCGAAATCTTGATCATAATGAAATTCTGTCTGTCAGTCTGTTTAAATCACGACAGAGATCGCACTATTTATGATAGGGCTGTAAAATTTTGCACAAATATTGCTCCTCGGATGGTTGGTATTGCCAATGGAATATATCGGACCATTTTTCTGTATATTGAACACGTCTTTCAACCGAATTGACAGTCATTTGGTATTTTAGGTTCTTATTCGAAATGTTACCCCAAATATTCGGTATTTTTGTCAATTTAGGCTTGTTTCTCAGCCGATTTGGCTGTAATTTCGTATTTTGTGTCCTCATTGGCTATCAAATCTTACTAGCAAAAAATAATCGCTATCGATCCCTGTTTTGGTATAGCCCCATATAAGGTTAGCCCCACTATTAGGTATTTTCGAAATATAAATCATATTTTCCCATGTCTTTTTCGGTATGTCCAAGGTCATACCATAACATGAAATTTCTCTTAGGACCTTCCATTAATTTTATATATTTTGAATGTCATCCTCAGGGTGGAGGACATAAAAAGTTCGGCCGGGCCGAACTAATATCATTTTTACTCGTTTCTCAAAATCAAATAAAATATTACAATTCGAACTTGGTACTTGCTATGCGGAGTGTGCGTGGATTATTATAAAGCCAAGCCATGTGTAGCTTTTTAGCATTTGTACATTAGTAGCTCTGTTGGTGGAACTTAGTGTATTCGCATTTTTCATATACAACCAACAAGTTTTGATATTCTACAGTACATTTGTGTAGGATTTATAAAAACGTACTTATGAATAATTGATAGTTGGGCTAAGTGAAAGTGTCAATACAAAAGTAAGGTTAGGTTAGGAAATAGTTTTTTTTTACATCTAAAGATGATAGAATATTTTCTATGATAAAATTTTCTAAGTGTACATCAAATGGAACGACATGCCAAAAACAAAACAACAACATAACAAATACACTTCAGACTTCAAAACGATAGAGAGAACACAACATAATTTTATTGTTAACGGATATAAGAAACAAAATTCGCTTATATAGAAAATAGGAACTTAGAAAATAATTAAAACTGTATTTTTTCACATTGGAATTTTGTTGCTTATATCCATTTACTACAGTTTTAATTAAAAAATACATTACAACGAAACTTTGTTAAATTTTTCTTGAGAGTGTTGTTAGAAAAATCAACGTTACCGGTTGATAAAAACCACCTGAACTGGGGCGTTGTGATTTCATGACGTCCTAATAATTGTGCTTTAAGAAAATTTTCAATTGTGAGTGAGCATCATAATTGTAAACAAAATGAAAAATGATTTTTATATGAAATGTACAAAAAATGACAAAAAAACATTGCCACCTTTTTTCTTAAAATATCTTTTATTTTTTTTTCCAAAATTGTAAAAAATTGTGGCAATATTTTTAGTATCTTTGTTATATGTATTTTATATTCACCTGTTTCACGACTACCCCTCTCCCGTTGATCACGATTTATTTGATCGAACAGCGATTTGGTACTCTCACCCACTGGTGAACTTGGCACTGTCCTCGCCATACTGGGACTCTCTGCAGCCGGTGCTGAGGTACTTAACAATGCCTCCACACCACCTGGCGGAAATAGATGTGGATCTCCTGATGATTGTGTGCGCATATAAATTTTATTATTACTTGGTATATCCATAGGTTCTGTTGGATTCGATGTCGGTTGTTGTCCTTGATAGAAAATATCTCGTACATTTGGACGATTATGATCGATGCCACGATGTGATGTTATTGTTGTCTGTTCATCGACTTCTTCAATAACTTGATCTGTGATACGCATGCTGCCCACAGGCTTGGTGTTAGCTGTTGCTGCTAAACTAGCTGCACTGGCACTGCCAGGGAATTTATATTTTTGTGTTTCATCATTTGGTGTAATCGATCCAGGGCGGCTATCGTCGCGACTGAGGAAACGTTTAAGGGCCGAGGCGACGGTATTGACTCGGGACAATGTACCGCTCAGACTAACCAAACTGGGTGAAGAACCGGGGCGAGTTTTACCATTACCAGCGGTAAAGTGTATGCCACTGGCATCGTCAGCCTGAGTTTTTTCGGTGGGAAAGAAAGAGGGATAAAATGGGGATTTATTAATATTAAAAAAATAATGCATTTTAAGTAAAACTTGTTAGGTTCTTTTTTAACTTTTCATAGAGACAGAAGAAAGTTTTTTTAGGGAAAATAAAATTATGTCAACTTAGTGTATAAATTATTATGTGAAGATGTTCGGCATGAAATAATTATAAAAACAAAATATTGTGTGAAAATGGTAACTAAACTTGTAAAATATTTACAGTGTTAGAAAGGATTTACTGGAATATAATGAATCTTCAATATAATGAATACTTGAAGACTATAATGAATCTTGATATTGTTAACATTAGTCAATTGAGTTCTTGAAATTATATTTTCAATAAATTGACAGGACCAAAAACTAATATCTTATAAAGCGGTACAATTACCCTCCAAATAGCTTACTTTCGTAAAATTATTGAATATAGGTCCATCTTGTAACATAGGTCCTGACCCGCTTTGGTACTATTTATGATATAGAGTGCATTTCACAATTGAGGACAAAAACTCAGACATATAATAATGATGGTCTATTTTCCGCATAAAGACCATTTCCCCCTATATAAATATCCAGCCCATTTTTAAGTATTTGATCTTTCTAGTCGCATTTTTCAATCTAAATTTCTGCAATTTGCTAGTTTGGTTTCTCAAAGGTTAATAAGACTCATGGCAGAACATTTTCATTATTAATGGTCTCGACCGATTTTTTCAGGATTTAAATTCCCTATCCTCTTTTTCCACCCGAAGTGGTAATAATTTGACATTTCAGACTCGCAGATTATGTATGACCCGATTTTCAATACATGTCAATGTAGGTCCATTTCTGTACGTATTCCCCATATAAAGGGCCCTCCCGTTTTTATGTATTTGAAGGGAAATTCGACTTTTCCAACTTTTAACATTTTGTAAAACTTCAAACCAGACATTTTCATTGTTGGGTCATGTTTTGAAATAGTTTTTTTTTTATGATCTTGATAAATTTTTGAGGTTTAAAAAGCCTGGAGTAGGGCTTTATAGTTCAGACCTAAATGTCTGAAAGTTAGCATTTCAACCTCTTAGAGAATACAATTCATTTCTATGGTATATGTTTTGACATAACCCTCATTCAAGAGTCCGTTACATTTTCGGTTGCCGTCATTTCGGTTTCTGAGTGGGTAAAATCTCTTGAAAAAATATTTCGGATGCAAGCTTAAATTTGGACATAAATCTGTACCGACCGAACGGGTTATTGAAGGCCCTACCTTCCTACAGAAGAGGCTATAATTAAACATATCGGATTTTCAGAGGATAAAATACCTTCATAGGTAAGGAATCTTTCCCATTCACAGTATTTTAAAGATCCTTGTCGTATTTTCAAACTCATTTTCAGTCATTTAAAATTTCGGTTTCGTAACAGATAAGAAACCTCCTGAAAAAAATAAAAAAAAAACGGAGGTCCTTGTTAAGGCACGCAATCACATAAGGATCCCGATTGGAGTTAGGTTTTTTGAAGGGTCTATCTTTATGTTCCAACCAATTGTGATCGGTGAAAATAAGGTGAATGTTTTTTCAATCTTTAATTCAACGGTCTCGTTCCATTTTCGATATTTTGATGGTCCTAGTCGTATTTATTTGGAAAATAAGATTCTGTAATTTGGCATATTTATTTTATGGTGGATAAATAAAACTATAGTTTTTGCTTAGCCTCCATATAAGGGTCCCGACCGACATTAGTTTTTTGGGGTCGTAGTTTCATTTCCTAACTGAAGTGGCTGGAATTTAAACGGGTATTACAAGTTGGACCATAAATGGTCTATCTATACAGCGGCAATGGCTGCTTGAGGAGTGCATGAGGAACGACATAATCGATTGCAAATCTGTCTATCGTATTATAGAGGTTTCATTTTCTCCACAAACTTGTTAACTAGAAATCTATCTATTGTTCGAAGATCAAATGCTACCACGCGGATCTTCAGGTAACCGGATTTGACCGGATTTGTTCGGCTGTCAATCAGAAAATTCTGTGTCATTTTCATCTTCTAGTTCCCTTCAGGTAAAAGCGAATAGCTATACACTCACAGAGAAACGTCTCAAAATTGAAATCGATTGGGTTATTAGTTTTTGAGTTATCTTGCCCGCCAATCACAAAAACACTGTTTGGAGAAAAACGAGTTTAAAGTTTGAGTCGCCCTCTTGCCGTCACTTGATGCTAACACAATAAATCGGCTATATCTTCAAAAATTGTTGAGATTTTCACTTGAAAATTTATAGGGACATTCCCTTAAATTGAGAGACCAAAGTACCTTTCGTCATCAAAAATAAAAAAAGGTTTGAAGTGATAATGACGGTTAACCGCTGGTATACGAGGTTTAAGGGAACCACACCCATTCTCGATTTGAAATTTTTGGAGATTTTCAAACGGCTGGCAAATGTTATTAAAGATTTGTAACATTGTAACAGAACATTAATTGACATAACGTTGTTGTTTTGTAATAGTTTCTTTTTGTAATTTAAGAAAAGACCTTGTTTTCGATGGCGGGAATAATTTGCGAATCCAAAAATTCCCACTGCATTCGAAAGAGTGCATATGAAATAGGGGGTTTAAAATCACACAAAAATTAACAAAATGGAAGACATATGAAAAAATCACATATTTTCGATCATAATGGAATATCTTGATATAGTTCGTGCGATAGGTAGATAGATATTAAATTATATTATTTTTTATGACTTGTAAAATTATGATTAAAATTATAATATAAGTGGAATGTTATCTAGCTTAAATGAGGATTTTTATATGATTTTTTGATTGATGTTAAGTGAGTTATGAAATAAATGGAGCGTTTAGTTAATTACAAGAAGTTTGAAACTTTCTTCTGCCCTACAAAAAAGAAATAATATTAACCAAAACCGAAATATAATAAAATAAACCAATTTTCACCATTTTCTGTTTCTTTTTTTTGTAATCGAAATATATAAAATGAGAATTTAAAAACACACTCATCATCAAAGACTCATTAGTCTTTCCAAATATATTTTAAAGTATACCGGTCTGCAGTACAGCAGGTATATAATAAACAGTTTAATGAATTTCCAAAGGTCTTTCGTAGTTCTTTCAAAATAATATTTAAAAATCATCAACATAGGTTTTTGTAGAGTTTGAAATTTATTCTATAATGAGATTTATAACGTGGCTCCGAGATCGGTAGTATTTTTTGTAACATAATTTCTAATTCTTAAAAGTTCCATTGATTCTTATTGATCTTTAACAGCCCTTTAAAATATATTATTAATAATTTCGAAAATATTCGCTAATAGCTCTTATACATCTTCCAAATTTATATTCTAAAAAAAATCCGCTCTAATGGGCCTAGCAGATCTGGCCATATATTATCCCAAAAAATCCTCGCTATTAACTCTGATAGTCCTTACAAAAAATATATATTTTTAAATCTTCAAATACTGGTAGGTCATTTGATATATTTTTTAAAAATACTACTCCTACAAAAAATATTCATAAAAATCTTCAGCCAAAAAATATTTGTGAACCAAAAATATTCACAAAAATCTTGAAATTTGGATTGAAGTGTTTTTTTTTGTAAAAAAATGTCCTCCTAAGACTCCAATAGTCTATGAAAATTTTATTAAAATTTCTGGTAATTACCTCACCAGGTAATATTACTTAAAAAAATATTCAGCACTAGTAATGCTTGAAAAAGGTTCACTATGCCTAAAATATATTCCTAAAAACCCACAAAAGGGGTCTAATAGTCCTTGAAATGTGTTTCCTTTAAAATGTGTTTCGTTTTTAGATGAGGAAATTTGGACCTGGTTTTAAGGTCTAACCGAATGATGAAAATTGGTTTACATACAAAAAATAAATACAGAAAATTTACAATCGTGCAGTAGTGTCTTGGATGTGTATAGAATTGTTTTTGGTGCAAGTGAGGTTAGATACAGCGTGTCTGTGAAAGTAATCTGAAAAAAGAGGTGGGGGCTAGAGCAGGAAGGATATAAAAGCGTGCATAGCATTAAAGCATTCTGATTTTTGTTCTGGGTGCATATGTAAAGAGGTAATAATTAGAATCAAATGTTAGTTTTTTGTTTCAAAAATTTGGGGGAAATTTTTAAAAATACAACAATTTCACCAAAATAAACCCATTTTTTTTTAAATCCCATAAACTATTTTGTGTTAGTAACAAAATGGGGAAATTAGAGATTTTTGTACCCACCAGCCAATTTTCCTAATTTTTTTTTTATAAAATTTCGAAAGCTTTAGGAAAGATTGTTATACTTAAACAAAATATATGTGTACAAATACCAGTTAGAGGGCTTGTTTGTTTTTTGTTTGTATATGGTGGAAGGAGGGTACAAAAAGTTTGTTTGAGTTTGTTTTTGTTTTTGGGAAAGCACATAAATATGTCTTTAATATGTAAGAATTTTTTGCTATTGGCCAATTCCAGTTTTATATTGAAATTTCCAATGGACATTGCCAATTTGATTCTAACCTCCTCATCTTGATTTGGAAATTTATAGTGAACTGCCTGCACAGTTGTTGGGGAACCGGGATTTGATTCTTGATTTTGATTACCAACCATGTCATCAATGCGAACACTGGACATAACCGTGGGCATTGCTGCCGTTTTGGAGACTTCAATTTTGGCCGTTGATGGCTCGGGATGTTCTTCGCGGAAACGTTCCGAGGCAATGGTATAGGGTAGCTCATTGGGAAAGACTTCATCCCAATATTGATCCTTCAATAGCTCAGGATGTTCATGATGCATTTCGTCAACAATTAAATAGGAGACTTGCAAATTGCGATCAACCATCCAATTGACCTGCAACAGAGAAACACGTTAGTAATTTATTAGAGTAAGAGCAGTCAGGTAACTTACCTCAAAATCATCATCATCTTCACCAAAGGGATTTATCAACGACTCGGCCACTTTCAACCATCCCATATAGAAGAAAAATTGCAGGGTGGTAAAGACCGGAAAATACAAATCAACCTTATTCAAATAATTACTATTGGCCACAACCTTATTCTCAGTCCACTGCTGGCCCATGACCGAGCACAAAAAGAACGAATACACTGCCAATGTTACCACCTGGGTATAGACCAATGGCACACTTATTGTATCGTACGATATCAACAGACCACACTGTCCCCGGAATTTATTCAGCTCATCGATTATCGTCTTTACCGCAAAATCATCACGTATGCGACCTTCTTTACGGGCCCGTGTTACAATACTGGCGGCCCATACAATTGGTAACCAATGCTTTGAATGACGGGGAAAGCCTTTATTCATACTCTCAATAATGTTCTTTTCGTTCTCGATCAATAGACCAGCTTCGACAAAATTCGACAAATTGGGAAAACGTTTTTTGACGCGTGGCGATATGTTCGTCATAACCATTGTCAAACAGAGGCAAACATAGCGCATAATGGTACGACGAACCATACGGCCACGTTCATCCTGTCCATGTATGTTAGCACTAACAAACACCGCAATGGGATCAGGCCAGGGTATACTGGTGTATTGATTCCACCATCGGGTCATCACAATCGATACATAGAAGCCCAATACAAAGGACAGGGGTATGAGATCACTGTAGTTGTAGCAATACTGTGCTATCGCTTCGAACATTCTGCAAAAAAGAGAGAGAGGGAGAGAGGGGGAAAAGAGAGCAATTATTAAAAAGGGTCACAGATGTTTTTTCTCATTGACTTACACTTTTTGTTCGGCATTTAGGACGAATCGATATATTATATTTAATAAATAATAGAGAAATAGAAAGGCCACCAAGTCCAGCCATACTAGTTTGTAAATACTGCCTCGCCACCTGGAATTGGAAAACAATTTAAACAAATTAATTCAATTTAAAAAAATTCAAATATTAATGAAATGTATTTTTTTTCAATTCAAATTCAAAATATCGATTCGGACCACTAGTTTGTGGCAGACAAGATTCGCACACGTCTTAATGCAGCAGCAAAGGTGTGATCTAATGTAACACGGAAACTCGACGTCGAAAAGCTGCAAACACAGCAGATAGCAGAAGCATACTCCGCTTAACTTACACACCTGCTTGACGAAAGCACTTCTTGTCCCGATAATAATATAGAAACACAATGGCAGAGAATTGCCCTCTCCCTACAAACTGCAGCAAAAGCAACACTTGGATACCAAAAGCCACCATCAAGAAATCCATGGTACGATCGTACGATCGTCGTAATGCTACTGATATGAAAAACGCAGCGTATAGGGCAACCCTGTAGACAGTAGCAACACGTAATGTGATGGAGAATTATCGGGAGAAAAGGGGAGAGGAGAAACGTTTTTTCAGAAAAAAGAACAAGAAAAACGTGATCGTGAGCAAATCGAGATGTACAGGAGTCAGAATAAAGTCCGAAAATTTTACCAACGCGTTAAACACCAAACCGAATGTTTTGGTGCAGGCACATCCTCCTGTAGAGATGAAGAAGGAAACCTGGTGACAGATACAGACAGCGTGCTGAGGTTCTGAAAGGAGAATTTTGAAAAACTTCTGGTATCAAATAGTAGCGGTGAAGAGGATACCCCAGAACCAATAATAGATGACGGTATAGAGTGTATGCCACCTAGCCAAGATGAAGTCAGAATAGCAATCAATCGGCTGAAGAATAATAAAGCAGCAGGAACCGATGGGTTACCAGCCGAACTATTTAAGATTGGTGGTCAGATGCTGGTCAGGAGCATGCATCACCTGATTATTACAACTTGGCTAGAGGAAAGCATGCCCAATGATTGGAACCTCAGCATCCTGTGTCCCGTGCACAAAAAAGGAGACAAGACTATATGTGCCAACTATAGAGGAATATGTTTCCTTACCATCGCATATAAAGTGATATCCAGCGTGCTGTGTGAACGACTGAAGCCAGTGGTCAACGACATTATTGGACTATACCAATGCGGCTTCAGACCTGGCAAATCCACCATTGACCAGATTTTCACTCTGCGCTAAGTCTTGGAAAAAACTCACGAAAAACATATCGACACATACCACCTATTCGTCTACTATAAAGTCGCATTCGACAGCCCTATCCGTTCAGAGGTGTCTAAAACCATGTCTACGTTCGGCATTCCTGGAAAATTAATACGGCTATGCAGGATAACTTTATGTGGCACAAGCAGTTAAAGTCGGAAAGGACCTATCGGAGCCCTTGAATACTGAACGAGGATTCAGACAAAGTGAGAGTTTGTCGTTTGACCTTTTTAACATTCTGCTGGATAAGGTCATACGAGAGGCAAAAGTGAACAGAAATGGCACTCTGTACACCAAACAACACATGTAACTCGCCTACGCCGATAATATCGACATAATGGGTCGAACATTGAGAGCGGTAACAGCCACCTTTGAACAAATTGAGAAGGAGTCTGCCAAAGTGGGTCTGGCAGTAAACGGCGAGAAAACCAAGCTGATGGTATCAACGCAAAACGTCCAGTAGACTCGGACCAACTGTGGAACTTGAGAACTACAGCTTCGAGGTAGTTAAAGATTATATATACCTTGGTACCGCCATAAATAAAACGAATGAAATCAGTTTTGAAATTAGTAGAAGGATAGTGATGGCCAACCGGTGCTACTATGGTCTGAGTAAGCAAGTCATAAGCAAAGCTACCCCACGCCAGACCAAACTCACACTCTACAAGACGCTGATACACAAGCAGATGAGGTAGCTCTTGGAGTGTTTGAGAGAAAAAATTCGATTTGCATTGACGGCGAATATCGCCGTCGAATGAACCATGAGCTGCACCAGGTATTCTCGGACATCGGCGTTGTTAGATGTATTGAGCTGCAGCTACCACGTTGGCTAGGTCATGTTGTGAGAATGGATGGAGATGCCCCAGCTTCAAAGGCATATAAAAGCGGATCGGCTGATGGTTCACGCAGAAATAAAATAAAAATAAAAATAATTAGCTTAGGTCTAATTTAAGGCGTGGAATCTCTGCCCTTCAACTTGCCTATAGAGACTCCCAGTTCATCAACTTGCCAGACTCCCTGGCCTTCAGCTCGTCTATATAGACTCCTTGGCCTTCAGCTCGTCTATATAGACACCCTGGCCTTCAGCTCGTCTATATAGACTCCCTGGCTTTCAGCTTGTCTATATAGACTCCCTGACCTTCAGCTCGTCTTTATAGACTCCTTGGCCTTCAGCTCGTCCATATAGACTCCCAGCCCTTCAGCTCGTCTATATAGACTCCCAGTCCTTCAGCTCGTCTATATAGAATCCCTGCCCTTCTGTTCGTCTATATAGACTCCCTGCGCCTCAACTCGTCTATATAGACTCCCTGCCCCTCAACTCGTCTATATAGACTCCCTGTACCTCAGCTCGTGTATATAGACTCCCTGCCCTTCAGCTCGTCTATATAGACTCCCTGCCCTTCAGTTCGTCTATATAGACTCTCTGCCCTTCAGCTCGTCTATATAGACTTCCAGACCTTCAGCTCGACTATATAGACTCCTTGGCCTTCAGATCGTCCATATATAGACTCCCTGCCCTTCAGCTCGTCTATATAGACTCCCTGCCCCTCAACTCGTGTATATAGACTCCCTGCCCTTCAGCTCGTCTATATAGACTCCCTGCCCTTCAGCTCGTCTATATAGACTCCCTGCCCTTCAGCTCGTCTATATAGACTCCCTGCCCTTCAGCTCGTCTATATAGACTCCCTGCCCTTCAGCTCGTCTATATAGACTCCCTGCCCTTCAGCTCGTCTATATAGACTTCCAGACCTTCAGCTCGACTATATAGACTCCTTGGCCTTCAGATCGTCCATATATAGACTCCCTGCCCTTCAGCTCGTCTATATAGACTCCCTGCCCTTCAGCTCGTCTATATAGACTCCCTGCATTTCGGCTCGTCTATATAGACTCCCTGCATTTCGGCTCGTCTGTATAGACTCCCTGGCCTTCAGCTCGTCTATAAAGACTCCCTGCCCTTTAGCTCGTCTATAAAGACTCCCTGGCCTTCAGCTCGTCTATAAAGACTCACTGCCCTTCAGCTCGTCTATATAGACTCCCTGACCTTCAGCTCGTCTATATAGACTCCTTGGCCTTCAGCTCGTCTATATAGACACCCTGGCCTTCAGGTCGTCTATATAGACTCCCTGCCCTTCAACTCGTCGATATAGACCCCCTGTACTTCAGCTCGTCTATTTAGACTGCCTGTCTTTCAGCTCGTCTATATAGATTCCCTGTCCTTCAGCTCGTCTATATAGACTGCCTTCCCTTCAGCCCGTCTATATAGATTCCCTGTCCTTCAGCTCGTCTCTAGAGACTCCCTGTACTTCAGCTCGTCTATTTAGACTGCCTTTCTTTCAGCTCGTCTATATAGACTCCCTGTCCTTCAGCTCGTCTATATAGACTGCCTTCCCTTCAGCCCGTCTATATAGACTCCCTGTCCTTCAGCTCGTCTATAGAGACTCCCTGTCAATCCGCTTGTCTATAGAGTGTTCTTGCCCCTCAGCTCTTCTATGGAGACTCCCTGCCTTCAGCTCTTCTATAGAGACTCACTGCCCTTCAGTTCGTCTATATAGACTCTCTGCCCTTAAACTCGTCTATATAGACTCCCTGGCCTTCAGCTCGTCTATTTAGACTTTCTGCCCTTCATCTCGTATATATAGACTTTTTGACCTTCAGCTCGTCTAGAGAGACACATTGCCCCTCACCTGGTCTATTTTGACTCCCTGCCCTCTCAGCTCGTCTTTAGGGACTCCCCTCCCCTTTCGACTTGTGGCCGTTAGTCGGAGTGCATTTCAATTTTCTTGATTTATATTTTCATATAATGATGTTATTGTTCTCGCATGCTAATTATTCTGATCCGCCATATAATGTTTACTTTTTGAATTATTACATACATTGTTACACAGATATTAATGTATGTGTGTAATTCGAAAGTTTGTAATTTTACAGCTTGCAATTTTGTTTGTTGTAAAGTGTGTCATTAATGGCTGAAACTTTGGAAATGACAAATGAATGTCTCGCTGATGTAAATGACGAGGATGATATCAACAACCATATCTATGGGCAAAAAATGCTATTATTAAATAAAATTACCCTATGCATGTAAGTGTGTGTGTGCTGTGCTGTGAGAGATGTTTTCGTCTCAAGGGCAATTTGTGTTTTTTGCAAAACTTTGTAGTCCCTTTGGCAGAGAAAGTTTTCCTTATTTTTTTATTACTATCATCACCTACAATGTAGGAGAACTTGACATTGTAGTTGGATGTGGTTAAGGATTTTTTAGTGGAAGGACTTTTCTAATATAATTTTATATAATTTGGACAATATGTAAATTAAAACTAGCACTATTTAAATTCATTTTAAGATGAGGTTAGTTTATCTCCCCTTAAACCTCTCTTAAATTTAAAAGTTATCTCCTCTAAAAATTGATGATTAACCCCAATTGAATTTTCGCACAATTGAAAAATTAGTGCCATCAGGTGATGTCATTAGCTTTTTTTGCTTTGTAAAAAACTTGTTGTTATTTTTTTGAACTTATGTTTTTTAGCGGCGATGATCTGATCACTTTATCAAAGGTTATAATTGCGTTAAATATTTGACATATTCATACAATATACATATATGTATATACATACGGATGTGTTAATTACAAAATCATACACGTAAAAATAAAATGCATATATATATATATATACATATGCATATATATGCATATATATATATACATACATTAATGTATGGAAGTAATGACCGGCTTAACAAACACGAGGCGATTTCAATTAGATATATTATTTTGTTGTCATTAAGATCGGTTTGAAAATAAAATTTTTCCAAAATATTTT